ACATGCAAGCATATATAAACACCATGCCTCTCGACTTGTTTGAGTCTGATTCTCTGAACACTATAAGCTGTTGAAGAAGTAAAATTAAAACTTCTCTAAATTGGTAAACCGAAAATACATATCGGACTGTTTAATTAGTTTAACACTACAATAAGAAAAACAGGGTAGGTTAAGGGTTTTAATTAAATAAAAATTATGTACATTCGCGAATATTTTTCTGCGATGTTGTTCCGTGTCAAATAGTTAATGAAAAAGCAACACCAACCGGTGAAACCTGATAAAACGGAGTATATTTTCTCCCTACATACAGTTTATATAATATTATTAGGAAATCCTTAAATAAGTTTTTTTTTGGTTTTTGGTTGAAACGGTAGAAGTTTTTTGAAAATTACACGAGGGATTGCAACAGCAGAGTGATCAACCCTCGGGGTGCCGGTGTTTTTGGAAAAAAAATTTTTGTAAGTATGTCGGGTTCGAATGCAGGGCCGCTGGATTCGAACCCGGGACAGTGATGAGCGACAACGTTGCGGCCACCGACTCCCCCATTTAAATTATCTCATTTTAAACAGTTTTTAGTGGTGGGTGATGGAAAGAGGCAATGGATGAAGTTTGTTAAGTTTTTCCCATTGATAAAAGCCTTGATTATACTTGGTTACATATTGGGTTGTCCGGAAAATAATGCAGGATTTTGGTATTAAACAAAAAAAAAGAAACTAGTTACTTTAAAGCAATGTTCTTTAATCAAAATAATTTCCCCAACGTGTTGGTAACTTATTAATTCCGTCTGAGTAGAATTCAGAATTTTTAGAATTGATAAAGTCAATAAATGCATTTTCCAGTTCCGTTTGATTTTTGAATATTATGTGTTGTAAGTAGTGGTCCAGGTGTCTAAAAAAATGGTAGTCAGTAGGCGAGAGGTCCGGAGAGTAGGGTGGGTGAGGCAAAGTTTCATAGCCAAGCTCCAATAATTTTTGTGACGTTACACGTGACACATGTGGTCGAGCGTTGTCATGCAACAAAATGGGCCCTTTCCGATTGACCAAAGAGGGCTTCATTACTGCCAATTTCTGATGCATGGTATTAATTTGGTTACAGTATGATTCAGCATTGATGGTTTCGCCAGGATTTAAGAAGCTGTAGTGTATTAAACCAAATGAAGCCCACCATACCGTAACCATTACCTTTTTTTGATGAGTTGGGGGCTTTGGAAAATGTATTGGAGCTTCTCCTTTGTCGAGCCACTGTCCAGAACGTCTAGTGTTATCGTAGAGAATCCACTTTTCGTCACATGTAACAATTCTGGCCAGAAATGGGTCATTTTTGTTTCGACAAAGAAGTGATGCACAAACATCAAAGCGCTGATTTTTTTGGCGATCGTTTAATGAGTGTGGAACCCAATTTTCGAGTTTTTTCACTTTTCCAATCGCCTTGAGGTGGTCAGCGACGGTCGTTTTACTGACTTTGAGTTGCTCTGCAAGTTCTCGAACAGTTGTTTTGGGGTTTTCTTCCACCACTGATCGCAGAACATCATCATTAAGAGAGGAAGGCCTTCCACGACCTTCTTCATCTTCAAGGCTGAAATCTCCCTCCCGAAATTTTTTAAACCACCTTTGCACAGTGCACTCATTAACACAACCCTCGCCCCAGACTTGGTTAATGTTTCTAGCCGTTTGGGCTCCGCTTCGGCCGAGTTTAAACTCGTAAAAGAAAATCGTACGAAATTCTCGCTTTGACATTATAAGGATGACTGAATTATTTCCAAGTAGCGGAATGCTACAGAGGTAAACAAACAATATCATTTGGAAGAGGATTAATAAGTGTTGACATTCATACAAATGAGTAATCCTGTAAACGTAAACAGAATATTTTATATAGATTTTTTTTAATGAAAACTTAAAATCCTGCATTATTTTCCGGACAACCCAATAATTTGGGCACAAATCGTAGATGTTCGATTTTAAAAATTGACTGCAGTTCTTTCTCTTGAGGTCATGACTTCATGACAAGACCTCCATTTTTTTTGTCATCGCCCAATAAAAACTCTGATTGTTGCACGAAACAAAAGGCACGACGGCATTAGCATACCACATGAGACATCGATTAGGAATGCCTTGTAAGTTTATATTAAACTGGTTAACAATAATCAAGTCCGGCCATTTCTGGTTATTCTGCAAGTTTTTCTTAACTTTCCAAACTATGTCATTAAGAAATGGCTAGTCACGGTCTGACGTGCCTGATCGGCATGATCTGCCATGTGAAAACTTCTGAAAAACTCTTGTAAGTAGCAGTGGTACAGTATAAAAAAAGACAACACTGCGCCTTCCAAACGGTCACAGGTTTTTGTTTTATTTGGTCTCGTCCTCATCTAAAAACAATTTTAATTATGAATCCTGGACGAACGGAAGTGACGCTGTTCCTCCAATCTAGGAAGACAACTTGTCTCCGGAATCCAGGTGGGCATGATCGAAATCTCGACTTGATTTGACACAGGATATAAACGGAGTTCCCACATTACAATAAATTATCCATTTTCTGTGGAAAACCCGTCCAAGGATTTTGAACTTGCCTTATTTCATCCCAGAGGTCATAATGTCACAATGAATTACCCTGATAAACATATAATGAGGATAAACAGTGTGCCTTGTAAGTTTTGATTCGGAAGGCCGTATTCCAGCTTGAAATCAATCGTTGAAAGAATTTCTTTCTGATCCGACCCGAGGACGAAGAAAGGCGATGAATGGGGGGCTTAAACGTATTGAGGACGTGACGTAAATGTCGATCCAAGTCAGATAATCAACAGGTGAACTTGACTCTGGCCGGCCGTGACCATGTCCTAGCCAACATTTCGCTCCTCTTAGTTTCTGTCCAAAAGTGCTCTTTTAAAAAAAATAGAAAAACTGTTCAAATTACCTGTGAAACACCGTCAAATCATTAAGATTTTTCATGTTTATTTGATTTTAACGAGACACAGTTAAATTTGTTAATGATCGGTTAGTGGCTGTTTTTTTAACAGATTCACCCACACGAAACAACTAATAGGACAGAGTGAAGAAAAATTATGCTCATTAGAAGAGAGGCCAACGCACGCGCACACACACACACACACACACACACACACACACACACACACACACNAGAGAGAGAGAGAGAGAGAGAGAGAGAGAGAGAGAGAGAGACAGACACATACATACACACACACACACACACAATCTATATAAACGATGTATAGAGCAGTAAATTGGTCAGAGTTAAGAGAAATTAGTCTAGTTATCTGAGAGTCATTCCTCCAGAGGACCTGACAAAATTGCTTAATAAGACCTGTCGAAAAATCACGTCTTCGCCTGTATCTCAGGCGTTAGAGGCGTTTCTCACCTCGTACACGGACGTCTTGCTGCAAATTGCGTTGGCCATGGTTTTGTAAAGTTCATGGGTAGCTTACTGGTAGTAGGGGGGTAGGCGATATGAAAAAACAAAAACGAGTTTTCGAATTTGGGCGTCTCCTCGCCCAATTATCCGCCGATAAAGAGCAAAAGCAATCAGACTCGCCTCTTCCTCCAGTGCATTAATTAGAAAAGGTTATTTTTTTCACTCTACCGAATTCGTAACGACAGGCTTGACGGCTTATCTCCCCATCTTAAGAAAGCTCGACAAAGATGCGGAAACGACCGTGTGCTAAGTCAAAAAGGCCTTCTAACAAAAAAAATTAAAACAACCTTGTATATCAAAAAGTGATTTGTATTAACGGAACTCTTAAGAAAATGTTACATTTCATGAAATAAGCACAACACAGACAACAGAGACCACCCGAATAAAAAACACTTGTTAAATCTTCATCCTAAAAACATGGTGTCTGTTCGAGAAGCGTCAGTATTTAGCCTCTCCCTGCTTATAACCTTGACCATCAATATTTATCCAATAGTGTATTTTTACGATGAAAGCTACGAGAGCATGAACTTATTATGGGAAGAAGTCTTACGTTTATAATGAACTTATAGAATCTGCGTCTCGCTCTCCCTACTTATAACCCTGACTTCTTTCACTTCTACTCAATAGTGCATGTGCCACAAGACACATTAAAAGATACCAGAATCAGAAATTATGTCACGAAAAGGGTTTCGTTTGCGACTCTGATCTCCCTGCTTATGACCCTAACTTCCCCCTTTAAACCTCCATTCATTTACGCTTAACTAAAAGAATGGGCAATTATGATACGAAGAGGTTTTTGCGTTTCGATAAACTTATAACTTCTATGTCACGGCGCTCCGCGCTTATGACCCTAACGCCCTTTCATCCATTTCCGGTCAAAGGCAAATATGTATTTGATAATGGAGGCACCTAGTTAGCTGAAATAATGTGAAATTATGATCCGAATAGGTTTCACTTTATAATAAATGACACAGCGTCCGCATCTTGCCTCTCCCTGCTTATAAGCCAGCGCGACTCAATTTCCGGTCAATGGTACATACATAATTATTATTTATACATCCGTGCTTGGTAAACTAAATGAATCCAAAATTATGACCAGGAAAGGTTTGTAATAAAGTAATATCTAGCAATACCTTCTAGAACGTCATTTACTTATAGGATAGCGTCTTCGACTCTCCCTGCTTACATCCCTTACGTCATTCAAAACTTAGCAAACTGTACAACAAGTATGTCAAATTAGGAGGTGGTTTTAGGATTTTAATAAATCATGTAGAGTACGATCATGCATGCCATTTGTTTTTACATGGCCTGCGTCTTAGCCTCTCCTTGTTTGTAACCCTAACCTTATTCCATTTACGAATTTCGAAACAGCAGTGCATAATAAACTATAAGAGTGTCAAATTATGACCAGAAAAGGTTTAAGGATTGCAATAAATTACAACTGCAATAGTACGCATGTGTTTGCCTCTCCCAGCTTATAACCCTGACGTCCGTCCAACTATTTTCGGTACATGGCACATATTTCGTCACGAAGCCGATTCCAAATAATTCTAACGATCCGCATAATTTTTCAGTTACAGGTGGCGTTATGGGGTTGCGCACTCGGATGGGGACACGTGGCACCGTTAGCCCTGGTCGGTGAGAAGCCTCTTTCCGTCGCAAGTACGACAGTACAAGTACCGCTCGTCCTGGTGCCGAGGGATGACCTCACATTGTATTCAAACGTCCACATAAATGCCGTCTCTAGAACGCAGCCGTTAGTCAGTTGTAGTCTCAACTCCTACACGCTGGTAAGAAGCATTAAATTACTTTTAAAACGTAAAAAGCTTCATGTTGTTTCACACAATAAAGTACTCAACGATAAATTGCAACACGCGTATTTTGAGATGTATGAATGCGTGGGATTGAAGAATTGTAGCGTGCTCGAGGGCACAACGGCCAAGTAAGATATGCATCGATTTAGTTTTTCCATTGAGAACAGACGCCCTTTGTCGCCAAGAAACGTGATGACATGCAGTTTCGAAACAGGAAATCGTCGTTTATCAAGATCCTAAGATGACAACCTTATTTTTTTCTTCCAGGAAGCCACCCCGGCAGTTCGAGTATTCTTGAAGCAGCCGATCGTCGTCCAGAACGAGCACGCTTTATTGCCTTTCCCGGCGCAGATCAGCGTCCTCCACGAAGGTCTTCGTATGTCCATCCCAGTCGGGGCACTGATCGCCCCTGTTCCGGTTGGCGTCGAAGGACCCCAAGTGATTCGCGTCATGTACGCGATTCCGACAGCTCCCCTTCGACTCAATTATCCATTCTACGGACCTGTGCCTTATCCATTCAGGTGACAATTAAACTATAATCAGTTTATTTATTTAAAAAAGATGATCATAGTGAATTTGGTTTTTTTAAAGTCAAAATACAATGGGAACCTCCAGTTGGCTTGTTGCCTGTTTTATTTTCTTATTTATATTTAGTAGTTATGCCTTTAGTTTATGCCACAACATGGATATGGCCTAAGTAGTATGTCTACCTACCTTAACGTTTAGCTATCTGTAGATCGCAGTTTTAGGCAGTTCCAGACAAGTTTTGAGTTAGTCTCATAAGCTTGAAAAACTTTAGAGCTTCCTGGCACCTGTATTGTTATTTTTGCATCCTTAAGATATTTGTTTTTTATTTAAATTCCACGTGTTTCTTTCGCTAGTTATTCAGCTTGAAAGATAGTGAGCTGGGACCCAGGGCCTCGGGGCGTTCGTAGTTGGACCCCTTATGGCCCAAAACCGCACATTAACCTTCTTTGATCCATCAAAACTGCTCAAAAATGAATAGAGATATTTGTAGTTTATTCTTATTCAATTAACTTTAATTAAATTAACCGATATGTTCTTGTTTTGAACCATGTTCTTGTTCTCTTTGTTAGTGAGATGAAAGAAAATAGAAAATACAAACTAAAAACAAACAAATGTTAATCCTCATTTTTAATAACGGATTGACTTAAGAATAGTAAACACGAAGATTACTCATTTTGTAAACAAACATCCTTTCTCGTCTTTAATCCAGTTGTATACTCTTTAATCATGGAAAGACATCATTTTGAATTAGAGGTTCGCAATATTATTGTAAGAACGAGTCATCGAGGTCACGGGCAAGTGGATATCGCAGAGGCAGTTGGTTTTTTCAGTGTGGTCTCCCAAGTCGATTCCGAGAGACTGGAAGTGCCAATAGGAAGGTTGGTAGTGGATCTCAGCCCATTACGACTGCAAGGGAGGATAGAAATATTGTCATTGCTGCAAAACGGACCCCTTTCAATAGTGCCGGCCAGATCCTAAGTACAATATGTTTTCTCAAGGCGTTTATCAACCCAAACGCAACTTTGAGACGAGCTGCAGCAACAGCCCGCCACCAGTAACTCAGGAAAATATGGTGCATTCCGTTCCCGAGAACTCATCGTCAACAAGACAAGAGGATCTTTAGCGTCCGCACCTGGCCTTTTCGGCCCTATCGGACGTTTTGATTCTCAAGATAAGAGCTGACGCACCTCCGCATACGACGGGGCAGTGTTACCGTCGCAGCAATGGTGTAGAGGCGCCCCAGCCTCCAAGGGCCGAGACAACCTCGCTCTCCGCTTGTCCACTCCGAATGGTCAGGCCGCATCGGGTCGTATGCCGCACCCAAAGGGCTAACTGGCCATTACATACATACATACATCAGCCTGTTCTTCCGCGTACTCCCTAGATAGAGAAGGCCACTGTATCTCTCTGAGTATAGGGGCTCCCCTAGTGTAGAAACTTCCGGGAACGCCCCGGCAGCGGTTTAGTTTAAAGTGGAATTGCTAACCACACCCTAGATGAGCACCGCCTACGGTAAAGTCTCTTATCGAGATCAGCCTACCTACACCTGCCATGCGCATTCGAGGGACGCCATAGGCTCGGCCTAGGTGGTTCGATCCTTCGCTTACTACCACGCCGTTCATACGCACAACAATGCAAAGCATACTCGAGTCAGAGACACCGATTCACTACCCGTTTCCGTTCGCTTACTCATGTATTCGAGGGACTATTCAGCATGATCGTCGCGTCCTCAACGCTTACACGCTGTCGTCCGGTCGCAACGTCTCCCGTCAGGCATGAGGCAGAGATGTCATCAATATTTAGAAAATCTGGGATTTTCCCGTCTTCCTTTTCCCCCTTGTCCCCAGACATCAATCCCATTGATCTCCTATGAAATGCGGTGCATCCGCAGTCAGTTGATCTTCAACAGCTGAGTGCAGAATTGTAACATGTTTGGAGTGAAATTACTTATGAAATTAGTGACAACCTTACTAACCAGTATACCTAACAGGTGTACCGAGGTTTTAGCTGGAGGATATAAATACCAATATACATGGTATTTATTGTTTAAAAAATTATCCAATAAACAACATTAGAAATTAAAATATTTATTTTTTTATTTTTCAAATTCCTTAATTAAATTTTCCTTCACTAAAAACATAACAAATTCTAATACATTTTAATGCAATTTATAATAAAAAGTAAAAATAAACTAAAAACAGTAGGAAAAGTAGATACTACGCAATTTGCAATAGCCCTATTCATTTTTGAGCAGTTTATGCACCACCAGAGTTCCAGGTTTTTCTTCTTTTATTTTATCTTTCCATTTTACTCTCTTTTTCAATAAATATTTGAATTGTTTTTCAAAGTCTAGCCATTTATTTAAAATTGTTCGAATATGTCGGTATGACCAGGATTGGTTCGATACTTCCTATTGTCCGATTGTTTCCTCAATCGCCGCTATCCTTTTGTGGTAAAGGTGGCAGCCTGTATTTTCCATTGTGCTGTTTTAAAACCAGTGACGCTAAGGCATAGCCTGTATACCGTTAACCTTCGATCAAGAACTAACTACTAGGTATGTAACGTTTTTGAAATGCTTTGTTTCTTGGTTTCGCAAGGTTTAAACTGTAAGATTTTTCTTAGCTTCTTTTTCTTATTGTTGCCTTGGAGGGGTTTGTATTACCCCTTTACCTTGCACCGTTTCAGCTTTATATTTAAAGCTTTTTGCAGTAGCTCGACAGTCAGGCCATATGAACTTTTCGTCTCGCTGCCTGTTTTTTAGTCGTATGTAATTTTTTTTGTTTGAATTCAAAATATGGTAACGGCACCAAAATAAAAGTGCATTAAAAGATAATTTTTATATTTTTTCCCCTCTTTACTCAAATTTATAACAACAAGGTTCAATTTTTGGCTAAATTTTGAATTTGTTAACTTTATAAAACAATATTGGCGTTAATTACTGTGTTAATACTAACCCACAATGCACTGAAGCCGCTCTACTCAGTTAATCGCCTTCATTGCGTCAACTAGGCAATTCTGCATTGCATATCAAATATTCTGTTTAGTATCTCCTTCGTTTTTTCCTTCAGAATTAAGCTAAATTGACAAAAATTAACCTTATTTTTATACTAGTCGGTAAAATAATTTCAGCATAAATTAATGGAAGATTAAAATCCAGTATAGGTTTTTACAGGTTTTAATTTTATTCCAAATTTATTTTGCGTCAACAATCTTAGAATTAACGACCGAGTTGGAATTTTTTCAGACCCGACTATGTAGACAGTGCTTACGGCTTGAAGCCAAACAGGCCGGCAGGTTCACCAGCGAGGCCAGACAAACCCGCGAACCAGTTTAACGAACTCCTGGGCAACAAGAAGCCTTCGGGTCCGCTAGTCACCGTCCTCGACTTCCCGAGTGAAATCGCCAGCCCGCAGACGCTCTACTACCAGCCACCTGTCGAGTCCGAACTGGGTAACAGGGGACCTCCAGAGGCTGTGTTTCCAGCCGGAATTGTCCAATCTGCCCAGCCTAGACCCTCTCTACAGGTCCGTGCATAAGTTATACTAAGGTTACGACATAAAACCACTGGGAAACTCTGCCAGCTTTTCTTTTTCTTAAACTGTACAAAGCTAGTTTCGTTTAGTAGATTGTGCATTTGGTAATGCTAAGACTAGCAGTTTTTTAAAATTTGAAAAACTATTAAGTTCAGAAACATCTTGTGATTTTTCCTGTTTTACAGGTCTTCCTCAACTCGAAGGAGTCACCCCTCCTGCAGTCGTTACGAGACGAGGCCAACCTGAACAAAGAGACACACAGCCACAATTCAATCAGCGTAGAAGCCCTTTAAAAATTAATAAAAAACAGAACAAAAGTAACAGCCTCCTTTCTTCAAAACGGAGGAGTCGAGACTTCTAAGATATTGTACACTAGCATTTCTGAATCACTGCCATACTTTATATTTATGCCTTTGAGAGACAAAAAGAAAAGTTTTAAAGTCTTAGCGTTATTAATCTAAACTGCTTATTTAAAGTAGAATACTAGCCAGTAAAAAGTTACCATATTATTTTGTAATATTAGTAGTTTATTATGAAGTTTTTTGTTTAATTAGCCTTTTGCAATATTAAAAAATAAGTCAATTTATAAATTGCACATTTATCGAAAACTGCGTTTACCAAATTTGTGTTACAATAAAAAAGTAATAATTTAAAATATTATATAAATTTTAAACAAATAGTTGTAATTTAGAAATGCATATGGCATCTTTTATAAAGATGTAATTTGAAGTTTTTAAAAAAATAACTCGAGTGCTCAATAATTAACGTATTATTTAACGTACTTACTACTGTTCTTAAATTGAAAAAAAAAATCAGAATACAATTTAAAAAACAAGTAAAATTTACATTTGCAATTCAGAATGTTAAGGTATGTATCTTTCCAGAACAGGCAAAAGATTTATAATTTTGTCAGGAAAGCATTTTTTTTTAAATGAATGTAGAAATGTCAGTATTTATTCGAGATACAAATTTACTTTATTAATAAAGGGCAGATCGCCATTTCTGAATGGTGTCGAACTTTTATTCTCGTCCTATCCGTTTTCCAAATTTTTCCCGATGAATCCATGATGAATTAACACAAAATGCGACCGCCAAACAACGAGGGGTCTTTCTTTTAAGACAGATCTACGTTTTCAATTTCGTAAAGAATGATGAGCAACCAAAACTTGTGATTTCCAGCTGATAAGGATCCGGAGACAACTACATATTCTTCGCCGATAATCTTCAGCAGAAGAACAAGTATATTCAACTCACATTTTTAATCAATGGTGATAACCAAAACGAGGAGGAGACCATACACTCTGTTATTGAGAAGGAAATAAAAAATAGTCAAATCAGGAAATATTTACGTCTCATCTCAATACTTTCAAATATGAGAATGTCAAAAAACCCTCCAAAAATTTATAAATCTAATTATGTGTGGCATTATGTACATGTATTTTGCCTTGATGTTGGAAAGGAATTGAGCCTCTTAATCAAACACGATCTGAAAACAAAGGTTAAAAGGAAAACTTAAGGGTTTTTAACAGATCCCAAAGCGTTATGGGCTCCCAAGTCCTTCAGGTTTGGCCTTTCCTCCCCAGGGAGAAGGAATCTCAGTCTGCATAGGTTTTCGCATCAACTGAGGATTTCTTTATCGTAGGCTTGTTTTGTGTGTTCCCAGAGCAGTTCAATTATTACAGCCCTAACACGTCCTAGGACAAAGTGCATTCGAGTGGTGTCAACTAGCATCACTTCTGTTCTCATTTTCTGTCTTGGTTATGGCTATTTTGTACTTGGATTGATGTATGCGCTTGCTTTCAAGTTCGAGGTTAAAAGGAGTCGAACTCTTTACGGCCTTGCGCTACTCCATTCAACCAGCAGCCCGACTATCATTCCAGTCCCAACACTTTAGTAGTTCTTCTGTTACTTTCTGCTTGGCCGTTTGATGAATTTTCTCGCTTGCCTGTGTCCTGGAATACGATCCCATTGAAAGTAGGACTTATTTTAATTCGGATCTACGTTTTTATTAATACGGTACGCCGCAAAAAATGGGTCTTGATGCAATCCCAAACAGGACTTCACTACCGATGAGGTACCTTTAATGCAGCTTGGCTGTCTTAATAGTTATTTTTTTGCTAACACCCAGCATTATGCACATTGTTCAATATCCAGTCTTTGGACAACTTACATGCGATTACAAGGGTTACACCAAGAAAATGAGTCATTTATGGATATTTTAGAAACAACATACTTTTCTACCTATATTTAAATTTATGTACCTGTGTCTCAGGGTCGATTGTTTTTCACTTTCACGTGTATATTTAGTCTATACATACGCCTCCGGAACATAGTTACAAGTCCTAGGTTTATTAGTTCTCCCTTAGTTTCTGCGACTGCCGATGTACCAAGCATGTCTGAAAGTAACATAAGTAAGTTGTTTACGATGAGAAGGAAGACGGGAAGTACTTAGGAAATTCTGTCGCACAGGAATTGTAGTCAAGATCCTCTGGGAAAGTGACTGGGGTAGTAGACAAACATGCTTGAATCAATACATTGAGAGGGTCGAAGAAAATGACTAGAAAAGTCTGAGAGATGTGAATGAAACAAAAGACGGTTTGCTGTTTATAGTTGGTCTTTTACAAGCTTTGAGTATGAAAATCTCAAAGCTTTCCAAACATTGCTCCATTTTTCAACTGACCAATATCGCTACTACCAACAGTGTCTAAACTCTTCGAAAAGTTACTATTAAAACGAATAAAACACATCGTTGAAAAAAAGAAAATCATTCCTGACCACCAATTTGGATTCCGAACAAGACATTCAACAATAGACCAAATTCACCGAGTAACAGACGTAACAGAAAAATCTCTCGAAGAAAAACAAATTTGTTCTGCTATCTTCCTTGATGTCTCACAAGCTTTTGACAAGGTCTGGCACGAAGGACTCATCAGTAAACTAAAAGGTATGCTACCAAAGCGGTATGTCGATATTATCAGTTCCTACCTAACTGACAGACTGTTTAGAGTCAAACAAGAAGATCAATATTCAAAATTAAAAACAATAAATGCAGGAGTGCCACAAGGTAGCATATTAGGTCCACTGCTTTACTTGTTATACACCAGTGATTTTCCGAAAATAGATGGAGTAAAAATTGCAACTTTTGCAGACGACACAGCGGTGATATCAATAGGACCGACTATAACCCACTCAACCGAAATCCTCCAAAATGCATGTAATAAGATAAACGAATGGACAAAAAAATGGAAAATCAAGCTAAATCAACATAAATCAGTTCATATAATCTTTACAAACAAAAAGGTGGACCATGTTCCGTCGCTCATAATCGATGGAACTACTATACCATACAGCAATACAGCTAAATATCTGGGAATGACCTTAGATGCCAAGCTGAGATGGAAAGAACACGTGAAGAAAAAAAGGACAGAAATAGGTTTAAGGTATAGACAACTATACTGGTTGATAGGACGTGGCTCCAATCTTGCTATACAAAATAAAATATTATTATATAAACAAGTCATAAAGCCTATGTGGACATATGGTATTCAACTATGGGGTTGTACCAAACACAGCAATATCAAAATCATACAAACACTCCAAAATAAAATCTTACGTAACATGGTCAATGCACCTTGGTACATAAGGAATAAGGACTTACATAGGGATCTTAAGATCCCTGAAGTCACGGCGGAAATACAACGATTTGCCGCCAAACACCAGGCTCGCCTCAGCCAGCACGAGAATGTGGAAGCGACCAAACTCTTACATAACCGAAACATGGTCAGAAGATTAAAAAGAACAAAGCCATATGAACTTGTGTAGTTAAAAGTGAATTGTGAATAGTGAAATGTAAATCTTATTGTACCAATGGGTTTATAAGAGTGTAAACATTTATTTATTCTATAATATTATTGTAAAATTAATGGTTGGTATAATAAGACCAGTTTTTATAAAAACATTTAATTTAAAAAAAATTTCAACTGCTGATATATGGTTTTGAAACATAAAGGAAGCTAGTGAAGAAGCAGGGTTATTTGTTCATCTGGTGGTCATCTGCGCTAGTGGCGTCTATCCTCATTGGGCACGTCAGAAGTAAAAAATATGTGTAACAATGGAGCGAGTATTGATTGACACCTGTGGTGCACCTGCAGGCATTACCTTTATCTAAGAAGTCTCTGATCAGAAAAAATTGAGATTCTCGTTTTAATCAGGAAAATACAAAATTCAACTTGTTCTCATCTTGTAGAGTAAAAAGATTAGTTTTAATAATAAAATTTTAATTTTTTTTTAGCTCAGTTTTATTCAAATATGCTTACTTAAGGTTACACTATCCGAATAAATTCCCCCTCGACCTAATTAACTGTTTCAAATCTAAGTGTTTACTCGTACGAAAGAGATCTTTGAACCCAACCCACTCGTCGCCCACCACGGCTACCTACAACCTTTGTTTTCGCCAGCGTTTACACGGCCATTTACAACATTTACTATCATATCGGTATTAAAAATTTATTTTTAAAGTTGTTTACTTCAGGAGAAGCTTACAACATTAAAAACCGTGTAGGTCTCAAGAGGAACATTGGAGGAAGTACCGTTTACAAGCAAACTTTGACAATGTTTATAACGCAACAAAAAGAAATTTAGTTTAATCAAAGTATTTTCTGATGGAGATCTTTACACATTTTTAGGACAATTTCATAAACTAAATCTAGGATTAGAACGAAGGACACTGCAGACACCGGAGGTATAAGTACATATTCGGACCCGCAGAAAACAACTCGTGCAGAAGAGGAAGAAAAAGAAACAGCATTGGGGACAAAATTACCCTTGTTTGGGTATAATTTGGAACACTATATGAAGTATATCAAAAGGGTGCATAGGTACTGCCAACGAAAGAATCTCTACTTGAACAGCCAGGTTCACAATAGACTTGTTTGTGAACCAGGGCTCACAGGGCAGAGGGGCAATGAGGATGATGATAAATTGGTCAAGGAAAGTTCATCTACATACTAATCGACCTGAACCCTTTTGCTGCATACCGACTGCCAAAACCGTAAATACATCAAACAGTGGGCTATGAAGAAGTCCTCGGTTTGATAGTGTTTCAGGACAGCAAGCGAAAAGTTCATCAAGTAACCATCAAAGAAACTAACGGCAGAACTACTGTACGTAGTTTTACGATTAATATAACAGTCGCACTGCTGGCTAGACACTGCACTCTCCGGAGGTCTAGTCTAAACATACCTTCAAGACAGACACATACATTTAAATAAAAGTACAAAAGTATGCTGTTTCTGACAAATTCACCAATTTTCTTAGCGTAGCATTGACCAAGGAGATGGATGGGATTGCATCAAGGCCCTGTCAGACATTTGGTAAAACAACACAATTACATTTGAGTAGCAGAGCACACAAGAGGAGCAACGAGGAGGCCAAGGACAATTCTAAGAATACCAATCGATCCTGAATCCTTTTGCGCCATGTTCGCAATCGTAAAATCGTAGATCCATCAGACAGTGAATACATTGAGAATACGTCCTCCGTTCAATGGGATTATATTCCAGGACAGAGACTGGCAAAATGTTCATCAAATGGCCATAGCAGAAACTAAAGGCAGAACTACTAAACCAAGTGTTAGGAGTAGAATGACAGTTGGATTGCTGTCTCGCCATTGCAGACTCGGAGCAACAGAACCAAACCTGTGCAGTTGAGGTCCTCTGTTCTGGTCTTATGCAGGCTGAGATTCCTATTCTGGAACCAAAGAAGACCCTGAAGGATTCATGTGGGAGCTCTTAACAGAGCGTTGGATCTGATGAAAAGCTTAACGAAAAGTTCTAGATAATAGTGATTGCACGATAGACCAATATTAGTAGCGGTGTGCATGGTTGCAAAGAAGTCGAGATTCCTTTAAACTTTTACCTTAACCTTAACATACCGGGAAGTAGTGTTAGATGACAACACCCGACTGAACTTTGACCTGGGACATATTGCTACTGGAATGTTAGTAGGACTGCTGACTGAACATGTAGAAACAAGTCTGAGCCGGATTTTGCCAGGAAGTTGCAGTCTGTTGTAGGGGACCTATGCAGTTTGGGAGTTATACTCCTGCAGTGAGTGCCAATGCGTGAAGGATACACACAGGAGTCCTTAAAAGCTTTGGATCTGGTAAAAAGCTTTATTTTTATTATTTTCAGACACTGGTTAATTATAAAAGGATTGAGCAGACCTAGGGAATATACAGGCGTGCCCACGATTTCTGCACATTGTTGATGCCAGTGATGGCTGTATATAAACTAATAAAGTTTAACATTTTCATTCACTAAAAGACAATTTATTTAAAAAAAATATTGTTAATCGATGTGATGAATTAAGCACGTACATTTGAAGCAGCCAATGAAGGAATGTCCTCTTGATGCCTTAATCCAAGAGGATTGGATATAACCTTAAAGGTGTACATACAGCCAGGTCCCTCATCTAGGATCTCTCATAAATTTCAGGTTCGGTAGGAAGTTCGATTTACAGTTGTATTCGTTGAGGCTGAAATTGGGAAGGGCGTCTATTTCTTTCACTGGGGGCGAATATCCAGCTTGTTCTACCGTGGTGCCGCTTGCAGTAGGCACGTAAGGTTTCTCCTCAGTGGGTACGCTTTTACCTATTGTCTTGACCATATCGGCGCAAGTGCCTGTATGAAGGGTTCTAGGTATTTTGACGAATGCTTCTTTTTTCTTGGTGACGAATATGTCTTTCGGGAGTTTGATCTTCCTCAACGACATGGTAACCTTGTCGGGCCGTTTTTCTTGCGTCAGCATGTGAAGCAATGTTTTCTGCTTTTTTCTTTTCGGCTTAGTGATACATTTCTGCTTGGAAGGATCGGCTAACGGCACTGTGACCGGTACTCTCAGCTTTTCTTTGAGCGCCTGTTTGAAACTTTTAGAAAACTCTTTATCCTCATACTTTAAAGTGTGATAGCAGTTGGGGAATAAGGTCAAATATTTGGAGAGTTTGGTGTCGAGAATTTCATCAGACTTTCTGGTAAGAACGACGTTCTTATAAGGGTTCCTTCCTGCGCTTTCAGTTATAAGCATCGTTTTAGATGCTATGGTGTTCTTTATCGGTTTTATTTTGGGAGTCTTCATCGCGTTAAATTTATAAAGCAATTGCTTATTCTTCAACAGTTCCTTTTTTAATACGAGTGTATTCTTTTCATTGTGTTTTTGTGCAGCCGTTCGCCTTCTGAAAAACGATTTCAACGTTCTATGCAGTCTATCGCTTACAGTATTTTCCGAAAAGTTCTTGGTCTTTTTATTTTTCTTCGACTTCTCTAATTGCTGGCTTTGGATAAGTTGTAAGGGGGTTGTAGCTTTCCCTTGCTTTTTGAAGATTTCATTGTTTTGCTGGCCTGATTCGGAAGGAACAAAGTTTAGTCTTTGCACCTTTGCTTCATTTTCTCTAATTTCGGACTCAGTTTTCTCGTTGTCCTCTGTTGTTGAGACTTCTTCGTCTATTGTGGCAAATTTAGGTTTCATGTTAGAATTGCGCGGTGAACGGCTTTTTTCGTTTTGTGAATTAGCTTCGGCACAACTTTCGGCTTTCTCGTTTTTTATACTTTTATTAACAGGATTGATCACGATGACTTTTTTCGGGACTTCCGCCATCGCTTTGAGTTCCTGTTCTTTCAACTCGGCCAACTTTTTGGCCTCTTCAAGAAGTTTGACTTTGTCTTTCGGTTTGAGGAAATTCTTTCGAGTTGCCGGCAACATTTGGAGCAAGTTTTTAAAAGAACCAGACTTTTTGTCCTCCTGGGACATTTCAGCTGGAATATCCTCCATTTTTGGAGGTTCTTCTTTTTTCGCTTCTTTTTTCACTTCTTTTGTTACTTCTTTTTTTAATTCTTTTTTCACTTCTTCTACCCGGACTTCCTTTACTTTCGATGATTTTTCCGCATGTGCAGTGAGTATCTGCAAAAGGGTCATGTTTTTATCGTCTTTACGCTTGAGCTCTTCTTTGACATTCGGAACTTTGCTTTCCGCCTGCTGTTTTTTCTCCTCGACCTTTCGTTCCCTGTATTTCATATCAACTTCGGTCTTGTTATCTGCTGATTTCGAAGTCAAGTCTTGCTTCGTGGCGTTTTCTTCGGCCAGGGTCGTTTGCAAATTGACTTTCATTTGTTTCTGTAAAAGGTTCTTGACACCCTTCGACTCGATTGATGCCTTTTCAACTGGTACAAATTTTACTAATTCAGCGGTTTTAGCCAGTTTTGGAGGGTACAAGAGCTTTGGTGCTGCTTTTGAATTAACTCCTTTGACGTGAACTTTTAACTTGTGCTTTTTTATCTGTTTTGGCACCAATTTGGTCGCGTCGTCCTTAAGCTCCTTTTTCGATTCACTTTGACTCAATTTAGAAGGTGTTTTTAATGAATTTTTACTCTCTTTTGCACCTTCATCTTTTAAATCGTTGGGGTTCTTTTCTTCGATGACGGTGGTTTTACAAAACAAAGCTTTTCCCTTGAAGGGTTCGCCGATGTACGCTTTTAAAGGCTGTTCTATTTCAGCCAAATCGTAACTTTTTACTTGTTCCATTCTGACTTCTTTTTTAACCTCTTTTGTCTCTTGTTTGATCGGTTTTTTCACATTTTCCGTTGACATCGACTCCACCTTTGACGGTTTAACTACTGAAGTTTCAGGAACTTTTCCTTTCATTAATGGATAATTCGTGTTGATTTTGGTCGGAGAGACGGTTGGTTTTCGCTTTTGGTTGTCTTTACGAGTAAACAGGACGGACTTTTGTACGTTGGACGCTCTCTTTTCAGCAATGCGCTGCAATTTCATAGCCATTAGCGTTTCCCTCTTCGCCTGCTCAATCAACTTTTCCTGCTTTTTCGAAGTGAACTTTTCTTTTTCATGATCTTCTATGGCAAAGGAAAACGGCTTGGGCTTGGCGAGTTTTTCCGTCGTTTTCGAGCCCAAGGAAATTTTCGGTTTGTTTTTCTCTAGGATTTCACTGATTTTCTTCAGATCGGTTTTATTGTCTATTTCTTTCCGATTATTTTCAACGTTTGATTCGCTGGCTTTCAATACGTTTTCAATTTTGACCTGGACGACTGGTTTTTGTTTCAATGGTTTCTTTTTGACTTCCTCGATCTCTTCAGGGTTTTCTTTTTTCCCCTTGGGCGGATTTTCCATGGCCTGTTTATTTTGGGCGATGATCTGTTCCGTTTTTTTAATCAATGTGCTCAGGACGTTCGTTGAAGTTGATTTTTTTATAACGGGCTTTTCAGATTTGGCGTTGTCACTATTCGCCTGAGCATTAGGTTTTACTAAAAAATGGTTTTCCTTTTGTAAATCGGGTTCGTCTTTCTTTTCACCGGCGTTTTTCCCCACATTTTCAGTTTTATCTTGTACTTCAGAATAGTTTGGAATTTGCCACTGTTCACTTACCGCGGTTTTATTCATAAGACGAAATTCTGGGTATGGCGCGGTGTCTTCTTTTTCATCCTGAGTCTTCATCTGGAAAAGCCTGTCTATAGGATTCACCATGGCTGGTTTGGCACGCTTTGCCCTCTTCTCCAGTATGTCTTTCGGATATTTTTCATCTTGACCGGAGGAAGAATAAGGCAAGAGCATGTTCTTCGGTTTCGTGTCGACGTTGGTGAGGTCCGAGGACAGATCGAACGCCGGTGAGACCTGTTGATTCAAGACCGGGAATGGCTGAGTGGCAACCCTCCTCCAGTAAATCCCGGCCTTGTCGATGTCCTTCTTCATGCTCGAGATGGCTTTATTCACCAAATTCTGTTCCATACTCGTCAGAGTGGGTATGCCGAACCTTTGCGTCACACCGTGCCGGCCCAACATGACAGGCAGGGCGAAATAATCGATCCCCGGCACTGCAGTCGTCTTCGTTAAGGCGATGTCCGTGACGTTCGGTTCTCCTCTCAGCCCTGCCATAATCGTGTTGACAAATCTTGACGTCGCATACGCTTTGTTCAAAGATTCCGGACATTTCTTCTTCTTCCTCACTTCCACCTCGCCCTTTTTTATTCCTTTTATTATCTTTTCTTTTATGTCCTAAAAAGAAAAAAAAACTGATGAGTCTTCAAACCAGATTATTGGCATATTAACTAGTAATACAGACTCGTTTTACTAAATAGACAAAGAATACCTAATTACTACGTAAATTAGCCCATTAATCTCTGGTTAAATGATTAACCAGCTGTTATTAAACATCTCTAGCACCTACTCCTGAATTATAATAGGCAAGAAGATGTAAAGAACGACCATTTCATACATAAATTTAAAGACACGGAAGAACCCAACCGATCTTAAAGACCTTCCGAAGAAGGTCGAAACGTTTCAATGGGTTAAAAAAGAAATGTACGGGCTCAGCGTCTGCGTGTTGCCTCTGCCTGCTTATAACCCTGATTGAATGCTACCGTTCTACATGTCTACTTATGCGTATTTGTTCCAAGGCAATGTGAAAGCTACGAAAACACGAAATTATGACTCGAAGATGTTTAATCTGTATGATAACTCATTTAAACCGTCTGCCTCTTGCCTCTCCCTACTTATAGACCTGGCCGCGTGCCACCGATCTACAGTAGTATCTACCCAATTGCGCATTTGTTACGAGACATTACAAAAGCTATGAGAACACGAAATTATGATTCGAAAGGTTTAATGTGTATGATAACTCATTGAAACCGTCTACCTCTTGCCTCTCCCTACTTATAGACCTGGCCGCGTGCCACCGATCTACAGTAGTATCTACCCAATTGCGCATTTGTTACGAGACATTACAAAAGCTATGAGAACACGAAATTATGATTCGAAAGGTTTAATGTGTATGATAACTCATTGAAACCGTCTACCTCTTGCCTCTCCCTACTTATAGACCTGGCCGCGTGCCACCGATCTACAGTAGTATCTACCCAATTGCGCATTTGTTACGAGACAATATAAAAGCTATGAGAACACAAAGTTATGATTCAAAAAGATTTTATGTTTATGATAACACATATAAACCGTCTCTCTCTACCGCGTGCCGCCAATCTACTGTCGTTTCTCCTAATTGTTCGTTTTCCTCTTCCCTCCTTATATCCCTAAGGTTTATATCACTTAATAATGTCAAAACAAGTTCTGAGCCTCCAGTTTGATCAACGACAGGAAATATTTCTGTACGAAATCCCTTTGATAAAAGTCAAAAAGCGTTATAACTGGTCGAAGTGCAACAATAAAAAAAAGAAGAAAATGCAAGGCATGTATAGTAATAGGTTTTCATGACTGCTTACTGTTTAAAATCGTGAATTTCTAACTTTACAACATTACGAAAATAACAATCGATATGCTATAATAAGATATAATTTTGAATTATTAATATTTAGTTTAAAAAATTATTTTATTGTTACAACGGTAAATCAAGTAAGCAGCTTTCTTGCAATGTGGCAGCTAAAGGAAACCTTAGGAGGAGAAAAATACAATAAATGATAGTGCTCAAAACGTATTTATTGGAACGTGTAAAAGTATAAAATGGAACATAAAAAAATCAGGCGATGACGAATATAAAATAAAACAAGTTTATATATAACCGATGGACAAATAGGCCGGCAGCTCTTCTTCTGGACCTGGGAGATTTTCGCACGTTTCATCTAGTATTTGGTTTATTGGTGTGAACTGGGTTGATTTTGTTTTGGTGAGCATCTCTCCGACGAGATTCTGTTCAACGTTCTGCCTTTTGTCGTTGACTTTCACCAGAGCCGTTTCTTTGCAAGGAGGTCCTAGGATAATCACTTCCTTCCAGTTGTTCTCTTTGGTCGAATGTTTCTTGAAATAGTCCATGATGTATTTGAGTAGTTTCTCGTCGTCGTGGTAAAAGTCGTCGAGGGGGGCGTTCCTACTGTCGACGGACCGTATGCCGTCAGCGAGCTGTGTGGTTCCGTTGGCATCGCGGTTCACGAGTAAGATCAACAGAGAAGTCGCCGTCACAGCGGTAAGTACTATCAGACCGGTGGGTAAGACGTTCTGGAAACTGTCCCTGTCGTTGACATGCTGATCAAAATTCTGAAAAGACAGTTTCTCCACTCTTCCAAATTTCGGTACGTCGAATTCGAGAATTTCTTTCAATTCGGGCGCGCAGAGTTTCTTATCGTAGGCAAACTCTTTGTGGTCCAGGTCAAACGGCGGCAGCTTGCAATTCTTTCCTAACTCTAAATCTTTATGGTTCATCTCGAAAGGATGGAGCCTGTAGCAGGAGATGGACTGTACTCTTTGGTTTGTCGAATCCGTGTTGAGGCCCCTGATCCCGGCGATAGTGCCTGATTTTTTACATTGTTTAAACGGGTGTGCGAATATCGGAGTGAAAGTTCTGGCGTTGCAGCAAATGCCTTCGTCTTTCTTTTCGTCGAAAAACAGGTAAACGTTGGAGCGTGCAAAAGGCAGGGCTCTGTCCGTGTGAGGGAATGGGGATGTCTGTACTGATTTTTCGTGAAATACGGACACACGTGGCATACCAATCCCTGGTGCGTTCCCATTCGAGTTTAACCGTTTTGAACTTAAGGCGGACGACATCTGCACCAGCTTAGAAATGAGCTGATGTTGTAGCGGGATCATGGTCGGTATTCGTTTAAGCCACTTAAATTTAGACACTACACACTAATCTAAATTTTTTTTTACAAAACTAGCATAACCATAGTTACCGTTGGCAAGAACGAATTCGGCCTCGCTTGAGAGAAAATGGGCACTCTCGTCTCTTCGGATGATCCACCGATCACCGGAAGAACCACCTGTCGGGCATCCGCCTTTAGATGTGCTGCCAGCAAAGAATTCGCCCTTATGTTATCTACGGTGGTCGCACCGAGAACTTTGTTACAATTGAAGCATCCGTGATGGACAAGCATCTGCGTAATTAACGGCAGCAAGCAATTGACGGGCGATGCAGCAACAACAACGATCGCCTAAAACAATAGCAAAGGACAAACTTAACCTAGATTCGTATAGTCATATTTTAATCAAAAATCAACAATACCAGTTTAGGATTTGATAGTTTATCTTACAATAAGTTAATTTTAACCTGAGAAATTGTATAATTTGGTATATGGTATTTGTTTTAAAAAGGATGCACCTATTGCAGAACATTAACAGATCACCTTGGCCAGCATAACATAAAAATAGGAACAGGATGATCGGAGGTGATGAAGCTCCTTACATATTTCATCACAACTGTGAGATTTCTGCATGGAGTCTGAAAGGTGATGAACCTGTAGTCTGGCCGTTTGTGATCATTTTGGTTTGCCTATCCTCTCGTTTGGCCAGTCAAATTTGTTTTGGCTCTTCACCACCTCTAGTTATAAATCTCTGCGTTCTTAACCTCTCAATCATCATCAACAGTGATAACATAAAGAATAAAAAAAAAACATTGGCCCAATTACTGATCCTTGGGGAACACCACACTTTACCTCTAATTGACTAGATTTTGCATTACTTTTTTATGACACTTAAGTACTATGTTTAAAAAAGTTTGAGTAGAAACTTAATACATTTCCTCTTATTCCAAAATATTCTAATTTCCTTAGTAATAAATCATCAATTGTGACCTGTGTCAAAGGCTTTAGTTAGATCACATAAGATTACATTTCTAGTTTGTTAATCTTCAAGACTTGATATATTATAACATGATTTTTTTTTAACAAATCATTTATTGACATTCCTTTCTGATATCCATATTGAGAAGGAGAGATGTTATTTTTCACTAGGTAAGAATATTAAGCTACATATTAAGGATAGCAATTTCACAAAAACCCCATGTCAGCTAAATGGAAACAGGTGAATTAAGTATTATGTAGCTGAACTTTAATCTAGTCTAGTTAGGAAATATTTATTTACTTATTTAAATTATTTTATTTATTAATTTTTAAAAAGTATACAGTAGGCACTTACTTCTGGTGCTGCGCTTGCAATCGCGTTAGCGTAGTCTAATATTTTTGGCGCAGAGTACGCAAATGGATCTGCTATATTCATGTTTTCGCTTGATGCCTCTTCGCCGATAACAATGATGTGGGCATCCTGAAAGTTCGTAATATAGACAATACACGACATTCTTATACATTTTTATGGTTAAAGCCACAAGCAATTATGAAGATTGTTTATTGAGGTTATTAGATATTCAAATCAATAATTTTTTAAATTAATAATTAATCGCTTATATTTAGTGGTCTGATTGACCCAATTATTACTTTCAATTAATTAACATTTTTATGTAACGTTTTGGTCAAAATGAAAAAGTTGGCGTCATGAGCGGGATTCGAACCCACGACCTTTGGCTCAATACGCCGCCGCTCTAACCACTTGAGTTATCGTGACTTCGATCTACTCGGACACCAACTCCCCGTCTCAACCTACAATCGAATTTTCCCTTCTTTTGCCATTTTTCAAATGTCGTGTAATCAGAATGCGATTCTCGGTGACACAACTGGAGAGCTGTTAGTGAAGTTATAGATTGTTTTATTTATTAAATCCATTATATTTAGTGGTCCGATGGACCAAATTACTTCTTTCAATTAATTAACATTTTTATGTAAGGTTTTGGTCGAAATAAATAATTATGTTTAATAAGGTTTTTTAATAATTAATGTTTATTATTTATAAACAACTCTCATTGGATAAAGGTCAGCTGGATGACTTTTAATCACTGAAATATTTTAAAAATCTATCTAGTTAATAAAAGACAAGCTGAAAACAAAAAAGTATCTACAGCCATGTGACTGAAGTAATGCAGAAGGGAAAAAATCGGAATTCACCTTCAGTGCAGTTTTAAGCTGTTCTTTGCCCAAAAATGCTTTGACTTTGCACTGCGTGTTCAAGCCTGCGACATCAAGAGCCGGGTCGATGTTGTGCTCATCGTAGAGCTTGATGCATTTGATGAAAGGGGATTGTTTGAGCAGCAGCGAGGACGTCCTCCCGAAGAGTGTGCTCAGCCCGATGAATGATACCTGTTGAAATAAAACGAGATAAGTACAGTGTTTAAAACGTTTCAAATGCGTAACGATATTACCTGAAATTTCTGCATTCCGTATAATCAATGGCACTAAAGTCTTGAAATGTTACATTGTTTGCTTGTAATACATTTTTATTTACACTAAAATTTGGACTCCTTTATTTTAGAATTTTTTTTAAGTATTGAAAGATTTGTCTACTTATCCCTCCTACACATATGTTTTATTTTTCTTAATTCAGTACATCTGTATATTTCAATGTTCTCATTTAATGCTTTAGTATTTTATTAATTGAGTGGTATACATTTGAGCGGGCATTCCATTTAATGCCATTGATAGAAATAAAATTATGAAAATTTTATAAAGAACTCATTAAATTCACTATTTTTCGTGGTCCGCTTGACCAATTAATATCATTCAATTAATTAAGGTTTTAAGTTGAGATAAAAAGTCAGTGTCACGAGCGGGATTCGAACCCACGACCTTCGGCTTGATACGCTGCTACTCTACCACATGAGCTATCAAGACTTCGATTCACTTGGGCACTAACTTCCCATCTCAACCCCACCTTTTGAATTTTCCTTCCTTTTTGCCATTTTTCAAATGTCGAGTAATCTATTTGATTCTCGGTGACAAAGGAGGGAAAATTCAAAAGGTGGGGTTGAGATGGGAAGTTAGTGTCCGAGGGGATCGAAGTCACGATAGACCAAGTGGTAGAGTAGCGGCTTATCAAGTCAAAGGTCGTGGTTCGAAACCCGCTCGTGACACTGACTTTTTTTATTTCAACTTAAAACCTTAATTAATCAAATTTATAAAGAACCTTGTTTCAGCATTTTGCCAAATTTGATGATCCGTTAAAATTATGTACATCTTATAAAGAAAACTAAAACGATAATTATTGAGCAAAGATTTTAATTATTTAGTATCTGCAGATAAATCATATTTGATCATACTGCTCTGCCTATTCTAGCTGGTTTTGTCTGACTGCTGTGTTTCAGCATTTTGCCATATTCGGTGGTTAGTCAAAATTATAGAAATCTTGTAAAGAAAATTAAATACAACCAGCACACCACGACCAGTATTGGTCTATTGTGCATTTTAACATAGAAGCATGCTCATATCGTTGTGATAAAAAATCTAACAGGAAAAATGATGGTCCTTAATAATACAAGCTGATGTCTTTAACCTAAAATATTTGAAGCTCTCTCAGCCTCACAAGTGGAATTTAGCCAACATCTAGTGCACTGAGTAGCTGTACCGAGTAGTCAGTACCATCCTAAACACCTGTGAGGAAAATATTTTTTTCTTTTTTTCTCGACACAGAAAACTCGTAGTGTGTGGGCCCCAGGATTACTACACAAATTTAAAGTCAATTTGTCAAACGCCTATTTCAGACTCATCACTCATGGGTAGAACGTTTGAAGTAAAATACATTGTTTACATAACATTTATTACAATAACACCAATAATAAACTGCAATCACAGGATTGATAAGGAAAAAACTTTAACCATAATGATAAACATTTCTATGAATGTATAAATATTCATAAACATTTGAAATTATATACATACAAAATTAATTATTTACAATTTACAATTTGTAAAGATTTTTATTTATGTACATATCACTAAGTTAAATGCAACTAATACATATCACATTATTTTTTATTGTTTAAAGTAATACCACATGTGGAAAAGGTCCAGTGTCAATTTTAAAAAAATTTTTGCAACATTAATGACTGATTAGTCACCCCTGATAAAACACCAAGTATAAATAAAGAATATAATTTTAAAATTAAACTTTATCCTGTACTATCTAATGGTAGAATTAACTAATTCAAAAATAAAAATGAGCGTAGAATATTTTGTCGGAAAATATTAAAACAGTCTACCACACAGTGATCTAGGAGTGAATACATGCACTAGGGAGTCCCAGCCGCAATCAGCAATCTGCCCCTTGACGTGATTGTTAAAATCAAGCCCGTAGACAAATTCCGAGTGGTGCCTGATTGTCTCACAAGGTTGGGAGGATAGTTTAAAATCCCATATCCTGAAAATGCCACGATTTGTTAAAGGATAAAAGATTTTTTTATTTATTCAGTTACCTGGTTGTAAAATCATAAGCGACAGAAGCGAGTATGGAAGGCATGTGCGGAGAAAATTGTATTTTGCGCACAGCATAATCACAGCCCTGAAAAAATAATTAAAACTTATAATTTGTAAAAAAAAGTAAATAAATCGTTAATTATACAATTTGTTCGAAAATATGATTCCCTAGAAAACGTATATCCCAGCCTCTTATTAGTCCGTCGGAACCACCTGTTGCAAGAAGGTTTTGGTCGAACTTACACCAGCTGCATGTGAGTACTTCAGCATCATGGGCTTTGATCGTCATAGATGCTTTCTCACTTATTTTTGAATTCCATATACTCAACATTCCATCCCCTAAAAAATACACTATTAATAAAATTTTCTTGATTGAGTAGAAAAAGAAAATACCTGACACTGAAGCGAAGCAAGATGGTACAAGAGGTGACCACATAGCGTTATAAACTAACTGCTCATGACCTTCGTAAGTCGCTAAAGAAAACTGCCTGAGCGGATCCCACTAAACATTTTAAACAAAATTTATAATTTTATTTATGACTGTAAGTAAAGAGTATATACCAATTTTATCGTGCGGTCCCATGAGGCTGATAAAATTAGTGGCTCTCTCCTGGCTGGGCTCCAGTCTACGCTGTATACCTCTTTTTTGTGTTCCTTCATCCTTTGCAGCGGGTCCTGTAAATTTAGCCAGTAATATCAACATTCAAAGATGGGAGATATGTATGGATATTGTGACATTACCGATGTGTTGACGTCCCAGATGTGGAGGACACCGTCACCACTTCCGGCCACAACAATGTTGGGATCCGTCTCACTCCAGACAACATCAAAAAGGCCATCTTGCCATTCATATGCTGAGTACTCAACAAGATTCCCTTCAGGAGTTAGGTCGAGGACAAATAAAGTACCTCCTCCTGGATACAAAAAGCAAACTGTCAAATTTTCTAAACTAATTTTCTTTTGATGTATTGTTAACTTTTAATAATATAATATTGGATAAACTAGGTTTTTTTAAAATATACTAAGCTTTATCAAATATATCAAAAGTAAAAAATTATTGTTAAGAATTTCATCCAGGAACTGTTGATTTCATTTACTTTCAATTGTCTGTGTTGTACCCCAAAATAGTAAACACTGTCTTCAGCATACAGTTGGTTTAATAGATTTAATGATAAAAATAAAAATGGTTTATGACAAAGTTTCACCTGCGAGGCCGTAGTACTGGGACGTGGCACAGACAAGCCTGTCCCCATGAAAAGGTGAGAAGCGCACTGAGTACCCATGGCGGTACGGCGTCAAAAATGAAGTCATGGTAGAAAAAAGCTAATCTGTAAACAAAACAAAAAAATGATCAGAGTCGAACAAAACAAAACCAACAACAAGGAAAAACATATTAGACTGTTATGATAAAGTAGACCTCTTGACTTTTATCAGGTAACCCAGACCTTTGGGTGAACAATTCCCGACATTTTTTTAAATATTCTGTTCACACAAAAGTTTTTGTGTTTAGATGATTTCACTTTGAGGTACCTAAGCACAACAATTTGTGCTGTGTTGCCTAGGATATGAGACCTTGTGTCAGGAGTCAGAAAAATCTGCGCCCTTTAGGGTTTTTATCAGGTCACCGTCTTACAAGATAACTACGTAGTTTGAAATAAAATATAAATATAATCGAAAGGAATACGTGCAGACAAAATCGAAAAGGTCATCGCCTCACAGGCGTGAAATAGTGTTAGCAACTGCTCNAAATTATAAACAATTACGTTTCCCTGGTGGGAGAGAGTGCTGATTGCAATTCTGAGAATGCCACCTGCATCTCAGCATTGCAATCTGATAATATCCGATAACTTATATATATATATATATTTATAGCATCTGGCCAATGATAGATGGATAATTTAAATTTTTATTTATTTATTATACTGAAGACATATTTCAGTTTATACAAGATTATAATTTGAGAATTATTTTTATAAACGTCCTGACCTTTAAAAACTTGGGCTTTTTTCTAAGCAAAGTAACAGTTGTAAGGCGTAAATAAAATGAAAACATACTTGGTAAGGTTTCACTAATTTGATTTTAAAGTATTAATTTTTCTGTTGGGTAATGTCTTAAATCCTATTAGCCCTTTGCATAAAAGGGAGGTCGCCCTACACACTCGTTCACAGTTTGGATTGGCATTTTCACAACTGTACTCCTACTTTTCAAAAAACTTGCCCTTCGTCAACTGTGACCTTGAGATTAGGTGTTGAATCCGGTGTTTAAATTATTTCCATCAGTACAGGCTTACAGGAGAGACAATCAAATGACTTCATTCCTCGGAACTTGCGCCGTAGTCGCAGTCAAAGTTTTTAAAAAGACAACACCTAATGGTAAGAGGAAGTCTTAACTAGGAAGAACCTGAAAAATAAACCGGATCGGTTTGTTTTAGGCAAGGTCACAGTCTACCTTGGCAAGAGAGACTTCATCGACCATCTAGACCATTGCGATCCGATCGAAGGCGTAGTTGTAGTTGACAATGACTACCTCAAGGGGAGAAAGATCTACGGCATGGTAAGAACTTACATTCGCTCATCTTTACGTTTGCCCCCATCAAACTGTGCCACTTTCCTACCCAAAGTCATCCTCATCTATCATCATGGATAGAAAACAACTTTTGGAAGACTATTTAAGACAAAGTGGCTAACATTCTGCTTCATTTCACAACTAATAACAAGAACACCATTCTTAGAATCCTAGATAACAAACAGGTCTTTAATAGAAGATGGCCGTCCTTACTGTAGATGATCAACTTCACTTTGCCCAATATCTGTTTAAAGCCAAGAACCTTCTAGAGAAACCTTTAACCTCACTTTATTTGTTCCCTCAACATTCTCCTTCTTACCAGATCAGCAATATTACCCAGACATGTAAGCTCTGCCCTACCATTCTAGAACAATACAACCATCTTAAGAAGTCCCCCGCCCAGGACGGGTCTAACTTTTCTGGGATAATAGCACAACTTTAGAATGTTCCTTTCCCTAATGTTGAGAAGCTTAGAAGAATGGTCTTTCTAACTCTCGTCCTAATGTCAGTTTGTTGAACTTAGTTTAGTGAAGATAGTTGTTTAAAACAAAGTACCTATTTCTTTGGGAGTTGTTATAACCTTGGGTATGTATATACCATTACTCTTTTGCGAGGAACTATTTCAGCCTTACCTTACCCTATTTGTTTTGATACTTTCTTTCAAGCTAATTCTTCTCAATGCGAACTATGAAAGACTCTACCTTTAGACCTCCCTGAAATAGCGACGTCTTTACAAGCCACCTCATGTTTTAACTAATGGTATAAGGTACCTCTAAGGTCAATCCACTAAATGCTTTTTCCGTTGAAATAGGCTCTTTCAGAAATGGGAAAGGAAACATTTCAAAAATCCTTTATGTTAATTTTTCAAGGGCCATTCAGCATCCTACCAAGTCAGACGATGGCCTTGTTCAATTCGTGACATTTGTTCATCTTTTCGGTCTGACGGTTATTCTCCTAGTTTATTGGACTATTATTTTATTTCTTTTTTAAAGAGGAGCTCTTGCTTTACTATATTCGAAAATTTGACATGTTCCTTAGGTCTCGACCACGTACAGATTTGGACGTGAAGAGGATGAGGTCATGGGCCTCAAGTTCAGCAAAGAAATGGTCCTTGCTAAGGATCAGGTGGTACCTGCGGCCAGTGAGAAACAAGAACTTAGCCCGATCCAGGAGAAGTTGATCCGCAAATTCGGGCCGAACAACGCATTTCCATTCGTGTTCAAGTTCCCTCCGAACGCTCCGTCGTCGATCACACTCCAGCCCGGCGAAGACGACATGGGGAAACCGCTCGGAGTCGAGTACAGTATCAAGACCTTCGTGGCGGACAACCCTGACGATAGGAGCCACAAGAGATCATCGGTCACTCTTGCTATCAAGAAGGTACAACTCGTTCTTACAATAAATCAAGAAACAGAGTAAATAGGTATTTTTGCAGTTGCAATACGCTCCAACGACACGCAGCCGCCGCCAGCCGAGCTCCCTAGTCAGCAAGGGGTTCACGTTTTCAACAGGGAAACTCAACCTCGAGGTGACTCTCGATAAGGAGGTCTACTTCCACGGCGAGCAGATCGCTGCCAATGTCGTCGTGAGCAACAACTCGAGGAAGTCTGTCCGCAACATCAAGGTGTTCGCAGTACAGCACTGCGAAGTTACCATGATCAACGGGCAATACTCAAAACACGTCGCTGGCCTGGAAACACGCGAAGGATGCCCGATAACACCTGGAGCGTCCTTTACAAAAGTCTTCTATGTCGTTCCTCTCGCTTCGAGCAACAAGGACCGTCGTGGAATCGCTTTGGATGGACATCTTAAGGTATAAAAATAAATAACTATCATTTAAAGATCGTGAGATGCGGACTTGTGTTATGTAAATTTTCTTTATCGTTCCAACATTGCGATCTTTATTGACTTCATCTGCAGGGCAACATACATCGCAATTACATCCAAATATCTGGATAAGAAGGTAAAACAACATATCTATTGCAAAAAACCCAAACAAAATCCTACAGCACTCGCTACGCACCAATTTGAACACAAATACAATTTCGACTTCAACAATCCAAAAATATTACACACAGAACAAAACAAACATAAACGCAACTTTTTAGAAATGGTTTACATCAACAGAGATAAACACAGCATCAATTACAGAACAGACACATATAAAATCAGCAGCAGCTAAGGTAATATCATAAAACCAATTTGATATCAATAACATGCAACAACATATAAAACAATCATTATACTCCACCAAACAATTCTACTCTAAATTCCCAACAATTTATCTCTCCTTTCCCTAATAATCCCATCTGTAATAATCCTGAAAGGCTAACTACACCCTAATGACCAACCATTACAGTTTTTTCCATTGTCGGCCCTTTCACCTCAAAGTTGACCCATAGAAAAATGAATTTCTGTCCCTCTTTCCTTCCCCACTCCTTCAAAATCAAACATGTAAACAAAAAACATTAATATCTCACTAACACTCAGCACGATACATAATCGTGACACATCTACATGGAAAACACATACTTTGAGGAGTAAAAATACTTTGAAATGTTTATAAATCCCAGGCCCTGAAGATGATCTCAATAAAGATCGAAACGTTGGCACAATAAAGAAAATGTTTTTTAAAATCTACATCACACCAGACCGCATTTCACGATCTCTAAATAATCATTAATTAACACTAAATACTACATATAATAAATAATATTTTGAAAACGTGTAGGGTGTTATGGAGTCTAGGTTTGCTGAATACCCTGGCACAGCATGTATTCCTATCGCCCAACCCTTAGTTCAGAATACTGTTAGGTCTAAAAAAGTACTGATTAAGTTCCAAGGAGGTCCAATTTGGACTTTGATTACACATCGTCTCTTGGCTCTATCTAATCTGTTGCTTCGCAGTGAAAAAAATATGAGGTTTCTTCATTTTCTTTCACAGAAGTGTTCAGATGCCCGGTTAAGCATGTTCCAATATTGTTTCTAAAAATTAAAGTATCTTAAAATGATTGGCTTTTATCTGGTCCTTGGTCTACGAGTCTTCTGGTTTGATATAGTTCTGTTAAAAGTACTTCTGTAGATGAAAGGTCGTGTATTCAATTGACGGTGATAACAGACCGAATGTTTTTTATTTCCAGGACGATGATGTTAATCTTGCTTCTTCGACTCTTGTCCCGGAAGGGAAAAGTCCAGCGGAAGCTCTCGGTATCGTAATTTCATACTCCCTCAGGGTGAAATTGAACTGCGGTACACTCGGAGGTGAACTGGTGACCGATGTGCCTTTCAAGCTTCTTCATCCGGCTCCAGGTAGGCCTTCTTTATTGTTTATTGTTTCGTTAAAAATACATAAAACAATATTATTTCAGGTTTCGTCGAGAAAGAGAAGGCTTTGAAAAAATCCAAGAGCATCGAGCGTTCACGTTATGAGAACTCATGCTACGCGGACGACGACGACAACATCGTCTTTGAAGATTTCGCCCGCTTGCGCATGAACGAGTCGATAGACGAAGGAAACTAAAAACCACCGGCCTAGAAATTTTTACTTTTTATTTTCCGCTTTTATTTTTCACTTGCATTTTTAAACACGGGGGAGAATGATTTCTTAGTCGCCCTAGCGATAGCGGTCTCAACAGCGTTGTTTCAGTTTTATTAAACTTTTTATTTCGAAAAGTTCCTTTTTAATAATAATAAATCTGAATTCCGTTGCCAAAATGTTTTGTGGACAGTGCGGGCAACCTTAAAGCCCTGATGTCAATTAATTGAAAATATCTGTTATTTTTAAATTAATTTGACTGAAAGACGATAGAAGACTTGTGTACATTATTATTTAACTCTTTGAAAATGTGATTTTCATTTGAAATTTTCTTTAAGAATTTTCATCTGTTAGACTGTTTAGTTTGCTTTTAAGTTGAAAATATTATAAACTGCACCTGAATGATAAAATATACACATGATGAAAAAGCTTTGATTTATTTTCAATTAATTAAGTTTTTGATTGAGATAAAAAAAGTCAGCGTCACAAGCGGGATTCGAACCCATGACCTTCGGCTAAATACGCCGCTGCTCTACCACTTGAGCTATCGTGACTTCGATCCACTCGGACACCAACTTCCCATCTTAACCCTTATTTATCTTATTTAGTCAAGCGGACCACGAAACCTAATAAAAAAAAATAATAATAAAAAACTTTGATTTATATTCAAGAAGACACCCCCTATTAATGAAAGGCAAGTTTTCTTTAAAATCAAAATTAAGGTGAATATATCAACAGGTGAATTTATGGAAAAATCATTTGACCATACCTGTCGACTGATCCTTCTCCTCAGGGCCCAGTAGACGATTGAGGACTAAAAGGGCTGTCCAAGTTCCAACCCTTTCGTCGGACCGAGCCCAGAGGAGGGATGACCAGCCCTTCCCCCCTTTAAACTGTCCATCTTCTTCGCTGGGCTGAGCATCAATCAGGCCCTCTCACCCCTCCAACGGACAATCAAAATTTATATGACGGATTTACGCACCGTTTCCCATGGAAAGAGTGGTACTTTAAGTACACAACGGAGGTTACGTGTACAAATAATCAAGTGAGGACGGTTAACCCGGAAAAAATCGTTAAATTTATATTCTAGATGTTATTTTATTATAGCCCAAAGATAAAATGCAATCACTAAGTAACATATATATAAAAAAGAAGTCTACCTTATCTAAAACAGTTCATAATTTGACCTGTCGTACAAAGAAACAACCAATATGAGCAGAAAGTTTCTGAAATCCATTCGCTGTTTGAATAAACCGTGAACACTTTAAACTTAACAAAATGCTCTTTGTATGAAAATAAAGACAAATATTGTTTATACTTTATTTGTCGGGTTGTAAAACTGACAAGAAAATAAGCGAGGACGGTCAGACGACGGCTGCCCACTGTCTACACTAGCAAGCCACCCAAAAAATTGATCCTCTGGTCTCTTCGTGCAGTAACGTACATGACGGAAATAAAATATAATGTATTCAATTTTAGCGTAAGTTATACCATAATTTAAATTAAAATGTGTTGACAACAGTTTTATACTTTAATGAGCCTAAAATAAGCTGTAAGGTTCGGAGCCGATATGATATACAGGGTGTCCTGAAAGATATTAGAAACCATAAAAGTTTTTGAAGATATTTTAGAATTTTATCCTTTTTCGGCTTTTTTTTCTTCCTTTCTTTACTTCTCCTTTTCTATGTGAAGTTCAAATGTGATTAATGTCTATTTGTAAGTTTCTTTATCATCTCGCAAATTCCCTCGCTCACTCTTGATATTGTCCTCGTCTTTCTCTCCCTCTCTCTCCTTTATCTATCTGCCTAATCTATCCACCTGTCTATATATCCATCAACTATGACTAGGTCTATATCCATTTTATTACTTATCTAATATAAATATAGAATAGATAAATTGCTAAACTAAATGTAGAATGGATATTTCGATTGATACAGTATTTTGTCCTTCTCTCTCACTCACTCTCTCTCTCTCTCTCTCGCTCGGTCTCTTTATCTCACTCTCCATTTTCGGCCTTTGCCTGTCTGTCTATTTACTTTTAACATCTTTATGTACTTTTACCTGCTATCTTGCTAATTATTTATTTAATCTTGGTCTCTTCCTTTCTTTATCATTCTGCCTAATCTACCTACCTTCCTTTTTATTTATCAATCTACTATGACTAGGTCTATATCTATTTCATTATTTTTGTATTCTAAACTTATTCATATACAGTATCTTTACTAGTTTTTTTATCTCTCTCTCTCCTTCTCTCTCTCTCTCTCTCTCTTCCTTCTCTCTCCTTCTCCCTCACCCTCTCTCTCTCTCTCACACTCTCTCTCTCTCGCTCGTTCTCTCTATCTCACTCTCCATTTTCGGCCTTTGCCTGTCTGTCTGTTTACTTTTAACATCTGTATGTACTTTTACCTGCTATCTTGCTAATTATTTATTTAATCTTGGTCTCTTCCTTTCTTTATCATTCTGCCTAATCTACCTACCTTCCTTTTTATTTATCAATCTACTATGACTAGGTCTATATCTATTTCATTATTTATGTATTCTAAATTTATTCATATACACTATCTTTACTAGTTTCTTTATCTCTCTCTCCTTCTCTCTCTCTTCCTTCTCTCTCTCTCTCCCTCCCTCACCCTCTCACTCTCTCTCTCACTCTCTCTCTCTCTCTCACTCTCTCTCTTTCTCCGTGTTTCTGCCTATGCCTGACTGTATGTTTACTTTCATCTTATTATCTAATTTTATGTACTATCTTGCTATTTACCTATTTACTTTTGGTCTTTTCCTCTCTCTATCTGTCGGCTTAATGATTCCTACATACTTTCTACCATCTCCAGGTCTCTAACTATTGTATTCTAATATATTTATATACAGCATATTTATATGTTTCTCTATCTCTCTCCTTCTTTCACTATCTCTCACTCTCCGTGTTTCTTCTATGCCTGACTTGCTGTTTACTTTCATCTTCAGTTATTTACTTTTACGTATTACCTTGCTATTTACCTATTTATTCTTGGTCTTTCCCTCTCTTTATCCATTTGCCTAATGTACCTACATGCCTATCAATTATCATTAAGGCATTGTCAATCTATTTCATTATTTTTCTATTCTATATTATTTATATACAGTATCTTTACTAGTTTCTCTATCTCTCTCCTTCTTTCATACTCTCTCACTCTCAATCTCTCGCGCTATCTTCTTCACTCACTCTTGGTCATGTTCTTGTCACCTTCTGTATCTAACTTAGTAACTCTCTCTCTCTCTCTCTCTCTGCTATCTCACTCTCGCTCTCCGTATTTCTGGATTTGCCTGTCTTTGTTTTACTCTCTTTCTTAACCTCTCTTTAATTTTCTTTGTCATCTCGCAATCTCCTTCACTCACTCTTGGTCATGACCTTGTCACCTTTTTATCTGTGTCCCACTTGGTATCTTTCTATTACTCTCTCTATTCCTCTACTTCTTTTTATTTTCTCTATAAAATTATATCATCTCCCTATTTCCCTCATTCACCCTTAGTCTTTTCCTCTCTCCGTCTTCCTGCTAATTCTCCCTACTCATTATCGATCTATTATCATTATATGTAGTACATCAATATACAATATTTTTTCTTGCTTTTGTTTTGTCTGTATAATCTGTATTTTGTGTAGTACATGTCTTTGTGGGTCTCTCTCTCTTTGTCTCTCTTTCTCCCATCCTTTCTCTCTCTCCATTTCTATGTTGCTATCGACGAAACTATGCATTTATCTGTATATTTTACTCTACCCATCTGCCAATGTCACTTACTACATTGCTTAGTTTCTTTGCCTTCTCTTTTTATTCCAAAACCCAAATAATTGCATAATTTAACCCATATTAATCTCCATACGATATAAAATGTCAGACGTGGCCGATAGATAAATGTCAGCGGTTCGAATTGGCCTAGTACGGGCCGGCTTGGATCAGGGATTATCAAACATCTCGAGAGTCCATCCGCGCTCGCTCGACATCCGGAAAAACCAGCCTATCTCGTTTTGAATTTCTCCGAATGTATTAAGATTAAGATCTTGAAACGAGATATCCACCCTTTGCAGCCGTTTCCGAAACGTCAACCTGAAATAACGCCCGTAGCATAAAATCATGTTTCGACCTTCGTACATTTTTAAAGTCCAGGAAATGTTCTCGTGCCAGGCCCCTACGAGGGAAAGGGTGCCGTCGCGTGTTAAGGCCCCACAGTCCGACGCAATCTGGCCTCTCAAGGATGAGAAATTCACCGGTTCCTTGTGATAATTGGATATCCTCGATGAGAAAGATTAATTCAACGACGTGATGACTATTAATCACTTATGCAAATAAACTACGCCCGTAAATTTACATCTAGGAGGAGGTGTGTGTGTTTATAATTGTGCCACCCGAAGTATTTAATCGAAAAACTACCAATGTTGATCATTGATCGTTGAGTTATTATTTTTGCCAAAACACCTTTTCCCACAGTCGTTCCCCGTTTAAATCCGACTCGGGATGAAATAGGGTAGAACAAACAGCCGAGGCAATTAACTGCCCGACCCTTTTCTCAGGTTTCGTTTCAACCCCTATTTGGACAATAGGAAGGGTCCTTTAATGAGTGACAGACCACTGGTCATGATGATCTATGCGAATTATGCTTAAAGATCCGGGACGGAACCTGTTTCCGGGGAGTCGTTAATTAATTAATTACCAGTGTCTGTTTTACCCTTTGTAATGCTGGCACTGAAGTAGGGGGAGAATCATTTCAAAATAAATTTACATTCTAATGAGACTCCATTTATGAAAATATATTATTGTAGTGTAATAGAGGAGGCTGGTATGATAGGATTAAAAAAATATCGATGCACGATAATATCAAAAAGGATCAGTAATGAAATACCGATAATACCGGTATAAAAGGTAGAAAAGAGTGGAGAGAGAGAGAGAGAGAGAGAGAGAGAGAGAGAGACTTAGTAAAAGATACTGTATATAAATATATAAAGAATAGAAAAATAATGAAATAGATAGACAATGCCCTAGTGATAGTTAATAGATAGGCATGTGGGTACATTAGGCAAATAGATAAAAATAGGGAAAGACCAAGAATAAATAGGTAAATAGCAAGATAGTAGGTAAAAGTAGATAAAGAAAATGAAACAAAACAGACAGTCAGGCATAGACAGAAAAACAGAGAGAGAGAGGGAGAGGGAGAGGGAGTGATAGGGAGAGAGAGAGGGAGAGGGAGAGGGAGAGGGAGTGAGAGAAGGAGAGGGAGAGAGAGAGACTTAGTAAAAGATACTGTATATAAATATATATAGAATAGAAAAATAATGAAATAGATAGACAATGCCCTAGTGATAGTTAATAAATAGGCATGTGGGTACATTAGGCAAATAGATAAAAAGAGGGAAAGACCAAGAATAAATAGGTAAATAGCAATATAGTAGGTAAAAATAGATAAAGAAGATGAAACAAAACAGACAGTCAGGCATTGACAGAAAAACGGAGAAAGGGAGAGGGAGAGGGAGAGAGAGGAGAGAGAGAGAGTGAGAGAGGAGAGAGTGTGTGAGAGAGTGAGAGAGGGAGAGAGATAGAAGGAGAGAAAAATAGAGAAACTAGTAAAGATACTATATATGACTATATTTATACTAGATAAATAATGAAATACATATAGACCTAGTGATAGTAGACGGATATATAAAAAAGGAAGGTAGGTAGATTAGGCAGAATGATAAAGAAAGGAAGAGACCAAGATTAAATAAGTAATTAGCAAGATAGTAGGTAAAAGTAGATAAAGAGGAAAACAGGCAGACAGACATAGACAGAAAATTGAGAGTGAGTGGGTGAAAGGATATATATATATATATATATATATATATATATATAGAGAGAGAGAGAGAGAGAGAGAGAGAGAGCGAAATATTTTATCAATAAAAGCCTTGGAAAATGTGCTTTACATGCATTTTTTTAGTAGAGCGGATCTTGACTGTTGCGAACAAAAAGCTTAAGCACGAACACCGTACGGTTAGGTGTGAAGTTGCCGGTTGGGTTTGCGGTAGATAATCCTGTGAGATACCAGTTTAGCTACAAAGGCGCATTGCACCCCTTGGAAGGTCCCTCCGGTAGGATTTTTATCTCGTCGCGTTCCCCCCGCCCGGTTACAAAGGGGCAACGTTTTGTCGGATCCTTAATGTTTATGTTGGTATATAATTTTCCTTTTTTTGCCCCGCATCCCTGCCCGTGGTCAGCGGAAACCCGTTCCCGAAGAAAGACGGCCGCTTAATTCGTGAAGCCCCAATGTTTGCCGGCCTGGACCTGTAATAAATCACAAACAGAAGATGGGGTGAGGGTCATCACAATGAGAGACCTTCCCTTTGTCATATATTGTCTTTCCATCCATTCAAACCATCCAGCAACGATTCCTCTGCATATTCGTAGTTAAGCATATGAGACTGTCTTCATATGAAATAATAAAACTGTCCTATCAAAGCAAAGTAAAACTCTTTTCAAGAAAGACAAAAAGGGCCAAAATACGGATATCACTGAGAGAACACACTTAAGCTTGTGCCATACTTAACGCGAACCAACATCGCATTGGAGGTTAACATTAGTAATTACAATACGCATAATAAAAAAATCGGGCGTTTTCTCAGCAATTAGAAACTACACCACACCAGTTCATTCCACATTCTATGTACCTTTTTATGACATTTCACACCAACCTCTCATTAGTTTAATTTAATAAAGTTCAAGCACGAAAAAATGTGTCTAACTATTTTAATAAAGAGAAAGAACAAAATATTGTTTATTATGTTCAGCGTTCATTCGCCCTGTGGGTCCGCGATTTCTCGTTTGTTTCGGTTGTGACAGCATTGTTCAAAAACATAACGAGGCACATCATAAAAGTAAGTATAATTTGTCTGCTATATCGTTAAAAGCCCGCACCAGAAATAAACTTAATTAAACACATCTCACGCAACATACCTACAGCGGACAAAAAACTGGCTCAAACCCATACACAACAACACAAACAAACAAATACAAAACACATTACACACAAAAAGCCAACAAAAAAATAACACGCAACCTACACTAAAACTACACACAAGAACTAAAAAACAAATACAAAACACATCTACGCACACACACACACACACACACACACACACACACACACACACACACACACACACACACACACACACACCAACGAACAATTACAAAAAATAACCTACAAATAAACCAGTTACAAGCACAAATACCAAACCAAAGACAAACAAATTACAAATACATATACTACACAGATATAAACAAAACCTACGCACACAAATCAATAAAAACACAACCTGCCACAAATATAAATAAAAATCCAAACAGTAGCTGCACATAAACTACACACGCGTATAGAGATAAAAAAATAAAACCTACGCAAAAACTACACACACCCCAGGGAAAAAAAACCAAACAGGTCTTATAAAAACACTACCCATACACAAACCAAGAAACGTATACAAAACGCATCCTACACACAAACCACATAACTTTATCCCTAAACGTAAATAAAAAACAAGCATCAACTGTAACTGCACGTAAACATACAAATAAATGTATACATATAAATATAACTAGCACATACACCTAAATGCAAACATACATATTTAAGTACTCATACACAGATATAAAACACGCACATACGCATACGCGCACACACACCAACAACAAATAAAAAACAGAACATCAAAAGCTCACAAAATTTTTATATGTTGGAGTCGTTTGTAGGAGAAATTGCTCGGTGAAACACTCCTTCACACTGCAGCACAAATAAAAAATGAAACACACTCACATGAAACAACAAAAACAGCCAAGCTTGGGCAAATGCAGGGGCATATTTCATATTCATAGACGAAAGCAAAACAAAGAAAATCGAAGGATGGCGTTGCTTTTTTTTTAATTTTACCAAAATTGCGGAAGCTAAATATAAATTAAATAAAACCTTTTCTAACACAGGCTAAAAAGCTGAAAAAAAAATTGTCATGAGTGATAAAAAGGCCACAATTGCGGGCCTTGATGATCCAAATAATCGAGGAGAGAGAGAGAGAGAGAGAGAGAGAGAGAGAGANGATGGATGGATGGATGGATGGATGGATGGATGGATGGATGGATGGATGGATGGATGGATGGATGGATGGATGGATGGATGGATGGATGGATGGATGGATGGAGGGAGAGAGAGAGAAGAGAAGGGCATCACAATATTAGATACAGCAATAAAAAACAATGGAAGCAAATAAAGAAAGTTATTCTTATCTGATGAGCAGTACATACAATTTGACATTACAAATTAAACAATTTTTCACTTAGGTTGATGTCAGCTGAATCTTTTCTAGTTTCGAGGCAAAAACGAATTCGTGGTGAAGTGATCAGAACGAACAACTGAGATGAGTGATGTCATATTAATGTTGCAAATTGAAAGATAGTCTCTGGTAAATATTTTTCGAGCCCTTTTAAAATCTGGATTTTTTAACCCCTAGGAGGAAGTGTCCTGGGAACTAGCCAGTGTCCGACCCTTAAGCGGCTTTGGAGTATTCACAAATCCCCCTAATTACATGTGAGGTCACCGACGGGATAATGGCCCTAATCCCTCTCCAACCCTTCACTATATTAAAATAACGTACATTCGCCCTTCGTGAGCGAGCACTGTCTTAGCTCTAACGAGGAAAAAACCTGGCATTTGGTTAAATTTGAATTTTGTCCATTTTTTAAAGCAAAAGAGGGCAAAAGGCGTTTGTTTGTGCGCGTTTAGTATTTGAGTTATGCCTGTGAGCTGTATGCTATTCTAAGGCTATAACACATTGTGATGACTTCCAAGACTCTTCTTTTGGCAACTAAGGATTCGAAATGCTCAGGACGGCCAAATAAGTATGTAATTGGAGATATTAACGTCTAGTTAGATATCCAATTCGTATCGAAGTTTAACCGATAATTTATGAAGTGCGGAATGACGCAATTGCCGTTCTGTCACAGAATCGTGAGAACCTAAATTAACCGTTCTCGTCGGCGTATCTGAGAGATAGTTGCACAATCCCACGATTCGGTTGTGCTCTGTCTTAATTTCCGTTACCTAAGGCGTTTGATTTTTAATCTTCTTCCCATGGCGTGTTTTCTTTACCAGTTTGTTCTCACTTTTTTTCTGGTTTAAATCTTTCTCCAGATTTCAGATATCTTGCGGTTAACGTCTTTGAGCCGTGTCGGAGCGTTTTCTCCGGCCCATTATAAAACGCGGCACGGCCGATTCGGAGGCAATGATCGGCTGCGGACTGGACGGGATGAACACCTTCAACGTGGGGTTATTTTTCTTGTCCTTGACCTTCAATAAAGAAATTTTATTTAAACAAAAAAAGGTCAAATTTGTTTCAGATTTTGCTCGTCCTTTTTGCGACGGTATATGGAGCTACTTCATCTTCGACTCGAACCTACAAGAGGCTCGCCAAGGGCGAAGGTAGGCCAATACCAATACCAGTACGGTTTTGAAATATTCATCAACCGTTGCCATCTTCAGTGGAAAGCAGCCCAGAAGAAGACAGCAAAGGGGAAGAGACGGAATTCGCCGAATCGGACAATTTCGGCGGGTTCGACGACGGCGGAGGAGGAGGAAGATACTTTATGTAAGCTTTTCTAGTCTACCTTTGAAAAATAATTGCTTATTTGTTCCGCAATTTTGAAATCAATAAGTAATCACTTCGGTGAAAGTAACTTTAAAAAAATCTAACGGTGCATCGTTCATCTACAAAATGTTTCAAATCTAACACCCTTTGATTTTCCAATGACCAGTTATTATCTTAAAATATATCGTATATATAATTACAGTATATAGTATATTTGCAAGTCAATATAAAATAGAATAGGGCGTCTGCTCGATTTGGACCCAGGAAACGTCATGGGGTTCAATTCCCAGCGTTGACCTTTCATTTTTTTGTGATTCACAAACCCAAAAAAGAGGATAAACGTGTCTTTTTGCAGTTCCTGTGCAGTTGAGTAGGTTTTATTTTTCAATATAAATTTGAGTTGAAAAGATCCAGTTGAAATAAACCTCAACTGGTTCTTTTGTACTATAATCGAGGGTTGAACTGTTCTTATTATTTACAATTTGGTTCTTTCTGGTCTATCAAAACTGGCCATCCTGTACCTCACATTTTCTTTTGAAACGTTTTTAAAGTTCAACGATTCTAAAAATCATACAGAGCAGTCTCCAGTCGTCCTGTCGACCAAGAATCATTATGTATGATTTGACAGCGAATATGGATATTATTTTATACACTTTCTGCCGTTATATTAATTTAAGCCGGACTTGAAAAGGTTAAAAAAAACATAAATTAAGAAGAAGAGATTGATGTCTAGGGACCAGTACTACTTCCAGCCGAGCAAAGGCAAAGTCGAATTCGGACATGTCAGCGAAGATCCGACAGACTGGGAGCAGAGGTACGAGAAACACGACTACAACGCAAATAGGCGTCAGGGACAGGTAAATTTTGAGGAGGAACGGTTTGATTTGCCTGCGGCTGGAGTCCGTTTAGCTTAAGCATCGGTAAACGCTTATGGTGGCGAGAGCTCATGGGCTTTTTCCTCTAGGTACCAGCACGTACCGCAAAAGGACCACTACGAATTCGGTTTCAAGAGGGGAAACGATCACCACCACAAAGAAAGGCACGAAAAAGCACATCCGCACGCGGGACATTTTAAAACAAAGGTAACAGCGACACAACATAAAAAACACATCAATCACTACTTCTATACTAATCTTCTAACCCGCACGACAACTAACATTGCTTCACTATTACTAACATAATTCATGTCATCTCCATGAGTTGACCTTATGGGGTACAATTTGGCAGCAATGAAAATTTATCATCATATTAATTGTAATTCAATTGCACATCATAACTGCATCTTTTCAAAGTAACCCGTTTATTCATGTTGCTTTTAAGAAAGAAACAATATGTTATCGCTAGAACATATTTAACATAATTGCTTGAGATCTTGACCAACCTGTAAAGAATATGTAACATAAATATCATACGTAATTCCTAAAGATTAACATGAATTAATTTAAAAAATTAAAGTTAACATAAACGAAATTGTTCATTCATCTCTCACTTGATTTCTTTTTCTTTTTCTCTCTGACCAACTATCTTTCCTCATCTATCGATCGATCCATCGATATATTTTTTCTCTTTATCTTAACCATCTCTTATATTTCGCATTAACTCTCTTTTTCGATTAACATGCTCTCTCTCATTCTCTCTCTCTCTCTCTCTTTCTCTCTAGATATATATTTTTTTCTCACTTGATAGCTTTTTTATTTTTTCTGACTCTGTCTTTTTTTCTGTTAACTACTCTCTCTCTCTCTCTCTCTCTCTCTCTCTCTCTCTCTCTCTCTCTCTCTCTCTCTCNTCTCTCTTGTTCATTTGTTCTTTTTGTTATTATGTGCCTTTTTTGACTACTCCTCTTGTAGATTCTTTCTGTTGGAGTTATAATAAATAAATAAATAAAGATTATGTTTATTTTTATCACTTTATTGCTTTCTTATTCTTTCGGACACTTTCTCTTTTTTATATTAACCTCTTTCTTTCTTTCTTTCTCTCTCTCTCTCTCTCTCTCTCTCACACACACACACCACGCGCGCGCGCGCACGCACACACACACACACACCACGCGCGCGCGCGCACGCACACACACACACACACCACGCGCGCGCGCGCACGCACACACACACACACATTGTCAATCTATTCTCTATCGACATTTTCTCATTCGCTCGTTGATAATACAACTCGATCTCTATCACATTCATTCCGACATTTCATTTCACATTAATTTCTTCCTCACTTTTTCTACTAACTCTTCTCTCTCTCTCTCTTCCTCTACTGTCATCCTTTTTATATAAATTTTATTACCTACCTACTCTAAATATATTAATACATATTATTTTTTTACAAGCTTTCACTGTGCCTGTTTATTTATTACTTCTCTTTCTTTCTTTCTCTTCTCATTGTTTCTTTTTCTCTCTCTCATTGTTTCTCTCTATCTATCTATCGTTATTTTTCTTGTTATCTTTCTTCATTTTACCCGATTTCTTTGTCATTCCATATTATATTCCCTCCCTCTCACTATCTCCTATCTCTTTCTCTCTTTGTACCTTTTTGTCTATTTTTCTTTCTCTCTCCAATTCTATTGAAAAGACAATTTTAAATCAAGCTTATTCGTTATAATTAATTTGAATAATTTAATATAATTATTGATAAGAATCTTCTTTTATACTTAATTATGACTGTTTATCTGTACTGTTGAGGGAGTAATCAAAATAGCATGGACAAGCGGACCCATCAACTAGTGACTTATTCCTATTCAAAAATCTCTTATTTTCATTAATATCACATTTTAAATAATCAGTTTGTAAACTACTCTGGGTAAGTACTCATGCCAATATTAACACAAGCGCTTTGTGCAAATTGATGTTGACTTTTAAATTGTGCCAGTGCCAAAATTTATAAATATGTTTTGTTTTTTTTTTGTCACCGGATGTAGGTGAAATGGGGAGACATTCACGGAGGCCACGGAGAACATTACTGGGACTACAACCACCACGGAGTAAGTGACAATTTATTCTTGTAATTGATAATTAAAACGTGCTTGACCTAGTTAAAAAAACACTTAGTACATCCGTGTTAAAAGTACAATCAACGAGTTAAAAATGTATTTTTACTGGGTTTTTTTCGTAGGCTATGTCTGACGTTCCCGGGTTGAACAAATTTACATATTTTTCTGGGCGGTTTTCTCTCTTTTATTTTCTATGTTTCATAACGAGGAGAAATGTGAATGTTGTGTATCTTGTAGCACGAAATCGAATAACTTGACTTAAAAAAAAAGTCGACTAATTGCGTAACGTACGCACCGAACTGCAATTCGATTTAGACATTAGTCAAATTACATAAAAAACAAGAAGCACTGAATAAATGCACATTTGAAAGGAATATCGTTTCAAAAGAGTTATGTTTTGTTTCAGAACGATGAAGGAGAAGCTGATGAGGTAAGAAACTCCATTAATTATAATTCGCATAGATCTAATATATATAGAAACATAAATTACGAACTAGACTAAATTTCACTTTTCCCTCGGTGAAAACGCCGTATCGCTCGATCTCGGCCGTCTTTTGTCCTTAAGGGACAATTATTCGGGCGAGATGTTTATCGCCCGTCACAGAAAGGACCCGAAAGTGAAACGCCGCGTGACCTTTCCGCAGTTCAAATCGGGTGAGAAGTTCCGTACCCGTTCCGACCCAAGGGACCCCGGAAGCGTTACATTTTTTGAATGAAATGTTTTCGGGACTCGTTATTGAAATTTTGTAATCCCAGAAGGACGATGTCAGATCAAGAATGCGGAATTTTGGGGCGGATCATTTCACAAGTGACGTAAAAGTTCCTGTTTTGCAGTTTCTGACCCGGTTGCGACATCGCTTTATCATCACTTTTTTCTGTCAATCTTGTTTCAATTGTTTTACATTAACATGGATCTATGCTTGACACCTTTAAAGAAAATAAACTAACTTCCAAGCAGATTAAAACATTTCTAACAACTTCATTACGCAATCTTCTCAATTTCGTTTCTAACGTTTATTACACACTGTCTTTACTTCTCATTTCGACACCAAACCATCATTGTTTTAATTTAAACAATCAAGCACGGAAAGTGACTTTGTTCGAGGAAAATGGCGGGATTTAAGAGAAAGTTATGTTAATTACCTACTAGGACTAGACATCATCAACGAGAAATTGCTAGCACTAAGGAAAAATAATCAACAGGAGGACTACGTAACAACCATTTATAAGATGTTCTAAATAAGCAGTTAGAAAATAACTATGGGAAATGCTGGGAATACAAGACATCTGAGAAAGACACACCCCATCAAAATGGCTAATAGGATTTTTTTCCTACCAACTTGTTAGATATTGTAAAATATGGCATATTAGTTGATGTATTCAATGGAAGGACTGTTTAATAACCATTTATAAGGTGTCAGAAAAATTACCAGGTCAATGCTGGGAACGGCACCTCATACCTCGTTCGTGTATGGCAAATCGAGAAACCTACGCCCTACAAAAACGGCTAATAAGCCACCAACAATTTTTTGCAAGTAATGTAGTAATTTTGCTTACGATGAGAAGACAAAAATATCCAGGGTAATATAAGGATTTCGGATGTTGCCCAACGTTATTTTTTCCTTTAGTTTTATCAAAATGCTGTTGAACTAGGCAAATTTGGTGGTATGATTTACAGGACGCGCATCTGACAAAATTTTCTAAGGTTCTGTGAACGATGGGTCGGAAAAACTAGTCGAAATGATGGGAGTTGAACCCAAGACCTCGTATAGGCCACATTCGAGAGAGGTTCACCCTACAAAAAAAAAAAAAAAAACCAACAAAGCACCAATTTTTTGTCATTATTCCAAGGAATAAAAAAGAAAATTTAGGAATTAGACATTACTGAAGTAGGCAAATGTTGCGTTATGATTTATAGGAGGCGCAACGGACAAAATTTTCTAAGGTTCTGTGGACGGCGGATCAGAAAAAAAACGGGAATGGGGGAAAGCGAACCGAAGACCTCAAATAGGCCACATTCCAAAGAGGACCCTTAAAAAAGACCAACAAGCTACCAATTTTTTCATTATTCCTTGAATTTGACATTGCTGAACAAAGCAAATGTTGCGTTATGATTTATAGGAGGCACATTTGACAAAATTTTCTAAGGTTCTGTGGACGGCGGATCAGAAAAAAAAACGGGAATGGGGGAAAGCGAACCGAAGACCTCAAATAGGCCACATTCCAGGAGGACCCTTAAAAAAGACCAACAAGCTGCCAATTTTTTCATTATTCCTTGAATTAGACATTGCTGAACAAGGCAAATATTGCGTTATGATTTATAGGAGGCACATTTGACAAAATTTTCTAAGGTTCTGTGGACGGCGGATCAGAAAAAAACGGGAATAGTGGAAATCGAACCTAAGACCTCGTATAGTCCACATTCCAGAGAGGACCCTTAAAAAAAGACCAACAAGCTGCCAATTTTTTCATTATTCCTTGAATTAGACATTGCTGAACAAGGCAAATCTGGCGGTATGATTTACAGGAGGCGCATCTAAAAAACTTTCTAAGGTTCTGTGAACGATGGGCCAGAAAAAACTAGGAGGAATGGTCGGAATCGAACCTAAGACCTCCAATAGACCACATTCCTGAGAGGACCCTTAAAAAGACCAACAAGCCACTAAATTTTGTTTCATTAATCTGTCAAATTAGATTTTGTTATACTAGGCAAATGTGGCGTTAAATCAACAGAAGACTTGCATAAAAACATCAACAAAACATTTATGGAGGTTTTTTAAGATTATGGACGAGAAAAGTTCATGCAAATTTGCTGGAATCGAACCCAAAACTCCGTATACGCCGACTTGAGAAATCCACACCCTATAAAAGGAGTAACAAGCACCAATAATGTATGTATTATGTACAATTCTTGGGACTAGAGTCGTTATAATTTACAATAGGCACATCTGAAAAAAGTCTACAGTCGTGTGGACTATTAGTCAAAAACAACCGCGAAGGTATGCTAGGATTCCTAAAATGCTTCCTAAATTCCAAAATAGAGAATACTAAGCTTTAAAAAACGACTAATAAGCCACTATAAATTTTGATAATTCGTCGAAGTAGATATTGTGGAATATGTCGCTATTGTTAAGGGTTTGTCGGTGATGAGTCAGAAAAAACCATGGGCAAGCTGGGAATCGAAGGATTATTGTTGGATAGTTGGATAAAGACATCCAAGATTGACTTTCCACTCTCGTTCCATTCAAAGCTGTTTAATAGCCTTTCCAAAAAATAAGTCTAAATAAAAATGAAATGCCCATAAGACATTTATCCTAATAAAGAGGAAAACCATATTGGTTCGACGAAGGTAAACCGAGCATTACAAAGTGTTCCCAGGTTTTGAATCTCAAAATTTTTAACTATTTGTTATTAGAACAAAATGCGTACTACTTGTACAAACTGAAAAACGAACATGTTCATTAAAAAAATGAAAGAAAGCTTAAACAAGTTGTTCGTCTTACACCATTGAGACTCCCTGAGGCTTGAATAAATCCTGGCTTTAGTTGTTTGTTTAAATGTACCATTGTTCGTTAAAAAATTGTCACTTTCCGTAAAGCTTCTAGATTTATTAAACTTTTCATTTATGTCAGTTTGATCTGTAACTTATCAGACCCGGCCATTCTCCTTTAGTGACAGTTTTTCATGACCCAGGAGATATAATAAAAATGTATGCTATGTTTTTTTAATATTTTTATTTATTTATTTTTTGTACAGGCCAGTGAAACCGTTCTTGACTACGACAAAATGGAAGAAGGTCGAAAAAAGAGGGACGAGCGCACGAAAGGACCCGTCCTCATGTACAATCCTGAAACTGGGACTGTGAAGGACGAAACGACCGGGAAGATCTACGCCCTATACGAGCTTTAAAACCCAAACTATTTACATCTATTGTTATCATTAGCCGATAAATTATATATATTTGTTTAAATTTTCTATTTTAATCTCCCCTTCAAGTCTGTTTTAGCTTACGTACGGTATATTTTGTTATTTACTTATGACGACGACCACGACGGACACGTTCAGGGTTGCCCAACGAGTGCTGAGCCAGATAAACGTCCATACGTCAATTCACATGATGCAAAACCCGAGAAATTGTGATCGTGAAAGTGCAACATGAAAGGTTAAACATCTGCGGCCGTGTCGGGAAAAGCACACATTGGGATTTTGATTGCATTATTACTCTACCATTATCAAATAAATAAACAAACAAAAAATTGTAAAATTATAAAAAATTAAAAAAACAAAACAAAGACAGCTCGTATGTGGTGTGTTTCATCATTCAATGAAAGTAATATTTGTACATAATTCCTTTGAGTTTCAAAAACAACCTTTGTTCTATTACAAACTAAACTTTTGATATTTAAAAAATAGATGTGTTTAAAACATAAGTTACAATATTTATGCCAGAAAGGAAAAAAGTAGATGGTCTAGATTGAATACTCAACAAGTCCGTGCCCGACTATATTCGTCGGTGCTTAATTTCACCATTTACTTACATTAGTTACTTACACATTTTTTTGACCAGTTATTACAGTTTTATAATGTAAATTATCATATAACAAAAACAATATAAACACAACGGAAGAAATCCCACTGAAACAGCAAGCGACAAATAACAAACGCAATCCACTAACTCAACATGTAAGCAAGGCGCAAAAACGAACGTAACACACCCAACAAATAACAACCAAAAAGTATTACGAAAAAACACTAAAACCATACACAAAATATTGAACACTAGCAAAAAAAATTTGAAACAAATTGAACAAATAAACAACCAACCGAAAAAAGGTGGAACAAAGGAACACAATCAATAAGATTATTCAGAAATCGTGAGATGCGGCCTAGTGTGATGAAGGTTTCAAAAAAAAAATTTCTTTATCGTGCCAACGTTTCGAACTTCATAGAGATCATCTTCAGTGCTCAAAGTGTATTTTGCCCTCTCTTGGGCACTCTCAACACGACATACAAGAATGGCACATCTACACGGAAAACAAACACTGAGCCCTGAAGATGATCTCAATAAAGATCGAAACGTTGGCACGATAAAGAAAATGTTTTTGTGAAATCTACATCACACCAGACCGCATCTCACGATTTCTGAACAATCATCGACAAACGGTCACTAATCACCACACACAATCAATAAGACAACTATAACAAATAGCAAACAAACCTCACACCCGCGGGTGAATAAAAAAACAAACAGTCCACTCAAGACAACAAATAAACACAGGCAACACACAAACACAGCTCATTAAAAAACCTTCGATCAAAGAAACAACTAACACATGCACATAAAAACAACCCATTCATTAACCAACACAGAAGAAGCACCATACACACACACACACTCACACACAAATAACAACACAACACACAAAATTCAAAAATAATCGAACAAAGAAACAACCAACACCCACACAACACAACTCACTCATGAACCATCGCACATAAATAAACACAATATACGCATACTTACAAAAGAACGCAGAAATAATTTAAATGGGCATAACAATAACACATAACTATTAATAGAGGTAATTAATATAAAAAATATTTTTGTCAGCGCTATCGTGACACCAGGTTTCATTTGACTGTAGTTGTTATAATTATTGATTATTATTGCTAAGGTTAACAGGGAAACCAAGAACTAATCCTAGTATAATAACCCTAAAAGAAGGCATATATTTTTTCATAGTATAGTTCATAATTATAAATCGAAAAAGAGTTCATACACAATGATCTACAGGCTATGCATAATATAAATTATAATAAATAGTGTCGTTATGCAGGATACCACATTAAGAAATGTGTCATTTAAAAGCATAGGAAGAAAGACCAACGTGATGTTGCCGACACAACGCCACCCACAAAACTAGTAAGGATCGGCAGGTAAGATGTTCGGAAACGATGAAACTTCGGATTCATCACTCCGCATAGATTAGCAAAGGAATGAAACAATTCATCTCTGAGATATACAGGGTACAGTATTAAAAATGGAATATCTAAAAGTATAGGAAGAAAGATCAAGCTGAATTTAGTAGGAAACTAGGAAGAATCGACAGGGTAAGATGTTCGGAAACGATGAAACTTCGGATTAATCACTCCACATACATCAGCAAGAAATGATACAATTTGATATTTATACCGGGTACAGTATTAAAAAATGCATTGTCTAAAAGTATAGGAAGAAAGATCAACCTGCAGTTGGTAAAACTGATAAGGATCGGCAAGCTAAGACAATCAGAAGGGATCATACTACAGGCAACCCCACAGATCACAAAAATATAATTTTACAACTTAATCCTTTTTAAAAAAAGATAGTTCCTACTCACAGTAAGTTGTTTTCCAACGATTCGGATTTCGAGCCACTTAGCTCATCATCACGTTGTAGAAATCCTTCAACCTGATGATGTGCTAAGGGGCTCGAAATCCGGATCATTGGAAAACAACTTACTGTGAGTAGGAACTATCTTTTTTAAAAAAGGATTGAACCCGCACTCACTCCATCAATCACCATTTCGATTTTACAACTTTGTGCCGTGCCGCAGTAAAAAAACCGAGACCAACGGGTTATTGAATTAACCTTTAATATCTATGGATTTATATCACAGTTTTGAACATTTAAATCCCTCGATAAAATGCGGACCATCCTTAAAAAAAACCGTTGCCGGAAAAGAAGACACAATGGGACCTGCCCCAGCTGGGAACACATAGGGGGAGCCCTGCCAGAACGAATTAGCCCGAGCAAAGGTCAATCCCGGAAGTCCTAAGATTCACGATCGACCGGTCTTGACCACCCCGGCGTATCCGCGACCTTTCACCTATCAAACGAGTTTAACCCTGGAATCTAGTGTCTAACGTATTTTTTAAAATTGGCTCCGTGTGAAACTCCTCACTTCCTTTTCACCACCTTTATTATGCTAATGGTACACTAGTGTTAAAAAGAAACAAGAAAATACAACTATACATTATGCCTATAGTTTACTGTATGAAAGGTTGAAAGAATATGCGATTATAGGAAATCGTATACGTTTCAGCTAACCATTTTTCGGTTTTAATAGTAACAAGATATCGGAAGTGGAAATCACGCGTCAGAGAACACGCATATTCTCATTTTAACACGAGCTTTCACATCGAGATTTAACGTCATTTGAAATGTTAATTAATACATTGAATCATGATAACCAAGAATGGTGAAGTCTTGCAATTCCAGCTTTACCCTCGGTTACACTCGAATCGGTGGTTTCAACCGCTTCTACAAATTCGACATACAATTAAAACGATTTAATTGACCATAAAGTAGTTAATGGGAAACATTTATTCAATATTAGAAGAAGGCTATACATAAGCGCATATAAACACACTAGCAGCCATAATTGACATGTCTTTACAAAATGGCGACATGGTAATTTAAGGGCTGAACACATCCGCGCTGTTTTCTCTTGTTTGGTTTGAAGGAAAGAAACCTCAGGATTAATTAATTCTTATTTCGACTCATTATCCTATTTGGCTTTTGCAAATTTGTCCCGAAGCACTTTTACGACAGTACAGACATCTGGAAAATGTCCACCGATCCAATTTTCCCCGTGTCTCAGGAAATTCACCGGAGAAAGCGACCACCTGTCTCGGAGGAACACTTTCAGTTGTCAAATGGCATTGTAACCCGATTCAGCCAGGTCGTTATGTCATTAGAGTCCACCGGTTGCGTCAGATAACTGGCCACTAATGCTGTTCCGATATCCGTTTCTCATTCTTGTATTAATTTTCTGTTCCCCTGACAAATCCGCATAATTCAATTTTCTGCCTGATCTACTTTATAGGTATACCTCCATAAGATGATAGGAATGACCAAGCTATACGCTCGAGTATTACGGTTCTACTAATAGAACTACAAAAGATTTCACTGTAATAATTGCATTCATGAACAGTTCTTTGTACTCGTACAAAAAAAAAATAATTTTTAACATCTTTATTTCAAGAATTTTTATGTAACGTTCTAGGTGAATTAATATTTTAACAAAATTTATCATCAACTTTCACTCAAATTTCAGTCAGAATTTCAATATTTTGGTCTTATGGCGTTTCGTCAAGGTTGTAAGCAGGGAGAGGCCTTCCATGTCTGCAGAATTTACCATTTATGTTGCCTTGGTTTATTCCAATCTTAAGTGACTATAGTAGAAGTCAGAATATTGGAGCAATTTGGGACAACATTGATCCATAGATACCGTGACATGTCCATAAATTGTTGTAGTTATTAGCTTTAGAAAAGACTCTTCATTGGTTTATTAATTAATTGTATTTCATAATGTTCGTAGTTCTAACGAAGCCTTATTTTAACATATCAAATGGCATGGTTCTGATAGATGTCCGAAAGGCCTTTGACACTGTTTGGAATAATGGTATAGTCAGCAGGATGATGGAATATAACTTCCCTCCATACATAATAAAAATAGTCTACTCCTATCTCCTATCCAGACAATTCCGTGTTTCCTTTGGATCATCCCTTTCCCAACCGAGAGTCATGGTTGCTGTTGTTCTTCAAGGCTCTATCCTTGGACCCATTCTGTTCCTCCTATATTTTAACAAAATACCTCTACGCTGGCGATATCGCTCTTGGAGGATAGACACGATATCGAACAGATTAGACAACGCAATGCGCTGCGTAGGAAGTTTTTGCAACCGTTGGAAAATTAAAATTAATCATAACAAAACGGAGGCAGAGTTTTGCGTAGATCGTTGCTTTATAAAAAGATTCAATTTGAAGGTATAGCTGTGTCGTGGTCTGAGTCGGTCAAATATCTTGGGGTGATATTGGGCCGAAAATTCACTTTCACTCCCCATGTCAGTGACGAAGTAAACACGGGCAAAGCTCTGTCGGCACTTTGCCCTCAGTTCTGTCGCCGGTCTGGCCTGTCGCCTGCCAAT